TGGAGTTGAAAGGCAGTCCTCGGGCAGAATTCCCTCTTGGGAGAACTTTCTCCCCGACGGCCTTCACCTGATTAGACGAGGCCCACCTACACTACAGAGGAGAAGCTCCTTTACTGGAAGGCCGCTAATTGTAAATGTTAATCACACCTAAAAAATTTTGTCACAGCAACATCTAGACTGGTGTTTGGTCAAATATCAGGGCACCATGACCTAGCCAAGCTGGTACATAAATTTGACCATCACAGACTGCTGTGTTTGCAGGGATGTAGTCAAATGCTCCTTTCTCCAGTATGACCCTTGCCTTGGGATTCTGAGCGAGTCTCTCTCTGGGTGGACTTCACTGGGGACAACTTCAGGGGAATCTGGATAGCAGGAGGGAGTAAAGCCCTTCTGTCTGGAGCTGGCTCTTTCCTGAGAAGCCACAGCTGTGGGGTAACATCTGGGACAGGCTTCACCTCCTTGCCAGGGAAGTCACCTGTAGTTTTAAATTGAACGTGAACATCCAGATGGATGTCTGGAGGGATGGGCATGCTTGCTGGATGAGAGATGACGCTGACTGTTCTTGTTGCCTTAGCTAGTCTCCATTTTCTGTTTTCTTCCCAACAAAACACATAGACAGCTCATAGATCATAATAATTCTGTGCAAAAACAGCTCTGATGTTATGGGCATTGTGGGCCTGCTTAAAGGTCCCATGGCTGGCCCGCGTGCTGGATGCCAAGAGCCTGGGGATCAGAAAGCAAGCACAAAAGAGTTTTAGCGTGGCTTTGGGGTGGGTTATCCGGCCCCTGTGAAGTAGGTGTTTCCACTCCGTGCTGCAGAGCCCTATAGAATTGTGCCTTGCTCTGTCACTGTGGTGGAAGAACACTGACCCCTGGGCGTGCTGTGGGTACCTGGGCCTGGACCACAATGGGTCAGACACGAGGTGACCTGGGCAGAGTGCCTCTGGCTGCCTGCTCCAAGCTCACTTGAAACTCCGAGGGATCTTCAGGAGGTCTGTGCCTTTAGCTCCTCATGACGTTTTTCCTCTCTCTTTTTTTTTTTTATTCCCAAGGAAGCCCTCCCCTGAGCCAGGGACATAACCTTGGCATGTGAGCAGTAGTGTGAGCCCTGGAAAGGCTGGCACAGAATGGGCGGTTTGGGGGCCCTTTGAAATTATAACCATCACAGCCCTGGGGAGCCTCTCCTCTCTCTGCCTGGGGAACGCTGATCACATGCATGCCCTGGGCTACCCACAGGCCACTGCCTTGGGGAAGATGGTCGCTCATGCCCAACAGCCCCCTGAACACTGGAAGCATGGTGGCTCTGTGTCCATTTCTGGGTGGAACCCCGACGGCTGAGGACCACACAGGTGTGGGATTTTCCTGTGCTCGGGACCCCAAGTTACTGCTTGGCGAGGTCACATGTGCACAGCCATTGTTCCTGAAGCTTTCTGCTATGTCAGCACAGGCTGGGCTCTGGGGTGTCTGGCCAGGGCCACTCCGTGCCTTGGGCCCCCATCTCTCTTATCTAAACTGGTGGAACCGGGGGTTTACTTGCACAAAACGGGTGTTCAGGCCTTGATGGGGGAAGTGAGGGCAAAGTCTGCTACTGGGTGAGGAAGGACAGGCACCGGGTGGTGGGGTGTTCATGGGGCCCCGGGGCCAGGAGGGCAGGGGCAGCGTGGCTGTGCTGCAGGACAGGGCAGAAAGGGAGGCCGGTGCCCGAGCTTGCTGCTACGCTCAGAAGTGAAGTGTGTGCCGGGGCCCGGGGCTCCCTGGGAGGCGGGGGAGGAGGCTGCTCCCCTGCGAGGGTGCAGGGCTCCTTCTGCCGGCTCTGTGCTCTCTTTGAGGGTCTGCATGGGGGGTTTCACTCCATCAGCTGCGGATTAGAATGGGTTTCCCCACTTAGCTGGAGTGGGTGGAACGGGGTCTCCTCAAACTCTCCTCCTAGCTCCTGGAACCTGAGAATGCCACCTTATTTGGGAAAAAGGTCCTTGTAATTAGGAGAAGGATCTCCAGATGAGAAGACCACGCTGGGTAATCGAGTTGGGTCCTACATGCAATGATAAGCATCCCCGTGAGAGGAGGGTGGAGCGAGACCGGAGACAGACACAGAGGGCCCTGTGAGGCAGGGCTGCTGGCTCAGGACGGCGGGAGCCCCCGAGGCTGGAAAGGGCAGAGAAGGGAGTCTGGAGCTTCTGGAGGGAGAGGGGCCCTGTGGACACAGATTCTGGACTTCCGGCCTCCAGCACAGTCAGAGAGTCAACCTCTGGTCTGAAGAAGCCCAGACTATGATGACTGGTTAGAGCAGCCCCGGGGCCCGTCGAGATCCGGGCTGGCTGCCATCACCTACCCAAGCTGTAATGTCTTCAGTGTTTGCCTAGACTGTGCGCTAGTGTGGGGCGACAGGCCTCTCTCCGAACACGCAGGGGGCAGGCAGTGCAGGGGTGGAGGGTGGCCAAGAGTGCAGGCGGCTGGGCGGCGGTGGTGGTGGCCAGACTCGAGAGAGACTGGTGTGCTGCCCTTGGCCTCGCCAGCCCTGCTGCAGAAGTCGGGGACAGAGGCCAGGAGTCGCCATTCCCTCGGAGGGGGTTGGACGGCAAATATTCAGCTCTGTTGTTGTAGCACAAAAACAACACAGACAACAAGGAAGCTTATGGATATGGCCAGACCGGCGGAGCCAGGCCTTCACCACGGGGTGGGTGTCCTCAGGCGGAGCAGGAGCAGGGGGCTTTGGAGAAAAGAGGAGGGGCTGGCCTGCCTTGGATGAGGTCCCTCAAACCGACAGGCCTCTTGAGGTTCCCAGGGGCTTGTTGGAAAGTCCAGAGGATCTGGGCAGTGGGGCGCCTGGTGACCCTCCTGACGCCCTGGGCTGTCCCCACAGGACAGTAGCTGGAGCGGCCAGTGCTCCCCGGGGTTGCAGGTTCCTAAGTCACAGACAAGGTCTCCGCAGAGCAACAAGCCGCGGGTCACCAACATGTGTGCACGCAGACAGTACCGAGCCATGTGACAGTGGGAGACTCAGCAGCTTTATCAAAAGGTGGGCCGACGTGTCTGTGAGCAGCAATATTCGGATGTCATGGGAAAGAACTGCGTGGAACATTCCACAGAGCCAGGTTCTCCTGACAGAGTGTGGGGTGAAGGAGAGGAATACGGGACGAGCCCCGGAGGGCTGGAGTGCACACAAGTGGGCACAGTGAGCAGCCGGGGGGCGAGACCCTGTTCAGCTGGAAGGGCGGCGTGGAGATGCCAGGGGAGGTGATGGCTGGTCTCTGGTGTGGCATCCCATAGGTGCCCGAAGGCAGGGAGCTCAGTTGGCATGGAAAGGCGCTCCAGCATCCAGGGGGCTTGAGGGACCCATGCAGGGGGCGGGGAAAGAGACTTGGTCCCGGGCAACCTTGCTGAGGACACGCCAGATCAGCACCAATCCCGGGGCCTCCCGCACTGTGGGGGTGCTCTGCAGGGCCGCCGAGGGCACGTATGCCTGCTCCGCCTGACGGGCACAGGGACAATTCACAGACCCGAGAAGGCCACTCTGACAGAGAAGACTGGTACGTTTGAGTTTGAAGTTGTCAGCACTCAAATTAGCAGTGGAGGAATGCGGCTAATGGGGGGCTGGGGTACAGGAAAGTAGGATGAGGGACCCACTGTCTTATTCCATCAACACTCAGGGACACACCAGGGCCAGTGGGCTGTCTCTCTGACTCCTGTGAACTCACAGTGACTTTAGCTTACTTTGGGAATAAGGAGAGGTGTGCCAAAAAAGAAACTGATCCCCTTTCATTTGTAGGAACCTTTCCATCATTGAGCAGTGAGTCAGGAGCCATGTATTTCAGCAGCTTCCATCCCGGAAGGGGCATCAGATCCGTCTTTTCTACAGGTCCAGCACCTGTAGCCTGGTTGTTCGGATCGACCCAGAAGCTGATTCCTGAACCCAGTGGGCCAGCCCAGGGACGGCGTCTCCTCTGCACCGGCTGTGTTTTGGGCTCAGTGAACGTGCCAAGCTTGCGGTACAGGGTCTGTGTGGTGGTGGGGTGGGGCTCTGTCCAGTGTCAGGGCAGAAGATGGGCTCGCTAGCTAAGGCTCCGGGCACCACTTCTCCATCTGCTTCCGGTTCCCATTTCATTTGAACACAAACACCAGGCAGTTTAAGAGAGAAACGTCAAAGCTGGCCCAAAGTCACTTTAGAAAGTAACAGAGGATCACATGGTGGCTTCTCGCTGCAGGAGAGGAGCCTCACACTCAGGGCTGTGTCCTCCTCTACAAAATGGGCCTAAATTTAATCCAAGGATTAAACACATGAGTCCCTGTGAAGCATGTACCGCTGCTCAGTTTTGTGGGGGGGTGTTTCCAATTACAGTTACTGCTCCAAGGCAGCCCCAAGGGTCGCAGTGGGCTCCTCTGAAAACTGGAGAAGCCACATAGACACCCAGAAGTGACAGTGAATGCCAGACTGTCCCAGATGGAGAAGGACTTTGAGCTCAGGACAGTATAACGGCAGGTGGCTGGAGGTGGCCGGCAGGCATCCCTGACTGCCCCTGGCCCTCTGTCCCGCTGGATGTCACCACAGCAGTGGCAGCCCCGGGCCAGCCCCCAGCCTCTCGCATATCTGCCCAGGGCTCCAGCATCTGCCTCTCCCACAGGTCCTCTGCATCTGCCCTGGACATAGGTCAGAGGCCCACCTGCTGCCCCGGGCTCGTGCTGCCCTTGACCACAGAGGAATTTCTCCTGGTCTGTGAACCACAGGGGACCCACAGAATAGCTGTTAGGGGCTCAGTGAGGCCAGCTGGCCATGAGTTCAGTCATTCATCTTTTTTTTTTTTTTTAAGATTATTTATTTATTTATTTGACAGAGAGAGAGAGAGATCACAAGTAGACAGAGAGGCAGGCAGAGAGGAGGAAGCAGGCTCCCTGCTGAGCAGAGAGCCCGATGCGGGGCTTGATCCCAGGACCCCGAGATCATGACCTGAGCCGAAGGCAGAGGCTTAACCCACTGAGCCACCCAGGCGCCCCTCAGTCATTCATCTTGATACCCGATTTCCTTGCATGCGCGCACACACACGTGCACACAGAAACACACAGAGCGCCTGCCTGTGCTCTGACACCGTGTGGGGAGCACACAGAGGGTGCGGCACCGAGCCAGCAGGGAAAGGGCTAAAAGATCACACCGAGAACATTTTTCTTGTATCCTTCAAAAAGTTTAACACCGTCCTAAAGAAAAAACATGTCAGTTTAGATGTTTCTCACGGATCAGAGCAGGCCAGCAAGGGTGGGGGCAGAGGTTGTCCGTGAACGTGAGTGAGGAGCAGAGGGTCTGGGAAAGCTGTCCCCTCGCAGATGGAGTTCCCTTGTGGACGGTGTTGTGTCCTGTCTCTCCTGGACCATGTGCACCACGGAGCACGGGGCAGATGGAGGGACGGGATGGTGAGCAGAGGGGAAGTGAGGGCAGGGTCCCTGGGTTGCTCCATCTTGTTCCAACAAACCTCCCCCTTCAGGGCTGGTAGGTCATCACAGGTTTCTGTGGAGCACAAATGCACATGCACATAGTTCTGCACAGACAGGTGTGCACATAGACATATATGTGGGCATGCACACACAGATAAATGAGTGTGCACATGCACAGGCATGTACCCATGCATAGAGACACACGTGGGCATGCACACAGAGACACCCAAGTGTGTGCACACAGAGACACACGTGGGCATGCACACACAGACATGAAAGTGTGCACACACAAGACACGGGCACACACACAGATGTATATGTGTGCACACACAGGAGTGCACACAGCAACAAACATGAGTGTGTGCACATGCACAGACACATGGGCATGCACAGATGTACACATGTTGCACACACACCGGAGTGCACACAGCAACACAGACATGAGCATGTGCACATGCACAGACACATGGGCACGCATGCAGACATACGAGGGTGCACACAGAGGAGTGCACACACACACACACAGACATACATGGACATGCACACACAGACAGGAATGTGTCCACACATGCAGACACAAGTGGGCCCGTACATAGACATATGAGTGTGTATACATACGAGGGTGCACACACGCAGACACAGGGGCACACAAACACAGACGTACACTTGTACACACACATACACATGAATGTACACAGCAACACAGACACATGTACACGTTGGTCAGAAGGTGCTGGTCAGTCCCCATGGGGCTTCTGCACAGTGTCTCTGCCTCTGCTCCCCCAGCTGTGACGCTGGGTCAGCGGCACCTGCCCCTCATCAGAGGGGGTGTATAGATAGAAAGTATCTGAAAACTTAAGGCTCTGAAACCCAGGGAGGTATTTTCGAACTTGAAAGCATTTAGACTTTCAAGTCCCTGTTGGCCAGTTTCTTACTAACGGTCACCAGCCCTCTGTCAGGCCCGCAGGCACCTCTACCCTTCCCCAGCAACCCCTACACATGTCCTCGTCCCCTTGTTGGGGTGACCTAAAGACGGCGAGCCACCCCTCCCCGTCTGCCAGTATAAGCTCACACAGTTAGGAACAGCCTTTCCCCACCTTTGTGCGTCCCTAGTGTGAGATGCTTGGAAACCCTTTTAAAAATGGAGTTTGCGGAGAGAATACAGCGCCTGTGGGAGTGGACAGCCACTGGGGTCATGGGGCGTTCGGGCCTTGACTGCAGCCACTGGCCCCAAGTCATCAAGCCCACCTACAGGACATGGGCATGACCTCGAGGTCCCCAGAGATGACCTCTTCTGAGCTGTCACAGAGCCACAGGTGTGGGGTGCTGTTGGACAGGCAGCGTCCATGCAGGGGAGCGGGAGCCTTCCCGGGTTCTTGTGAGGGGCTGCCAGCCCAGGTGTTCTGCAGAGCGCTCTCTCCCATGGCCCCTGGGGACAGACTTGACCCCAACATCTGCACACGTGGTTTGCTAAATTAGCTTTACTGCACGGGTGAGCTGCTGGGGCTGAGGAGAGTGTCCTCACTGCCTCGTGCGCTGTCCCCTCCCCTGTGTCCTCTCTCTCATGGACGGTCCCCTCCCCTGAGTGTCCTCACTGTCTTGTGGGTGGTCCCCTCCCCTGAGTGTACTCTCTCTGTCACGGATGGTCCCCTTCCCCAAGCCAAGACTCAGCCCAGGGTAAGTGGAGACCCCTATCACTGGTATATTCTGGTATCTTTAAGAAACGTTTTCAATTTTTCTTTAAGTCTTTGGTTGATTTCACTCTTATTAGTTTCTCCCATTTTCTCTGCTCTGGAGTCCTAATGCCAGCACGGAAACTAGAGAAGGGGCCCCGGGGCTTTCAAGACGCCTCAGGAGGGAGGAGACGGGCTTACCGCAAAGCTGTGGTTGGCCACCCCCTTCCTGCTGTTGGGGTTTCTCTGTGTCAGGGACCCGCGGTACGCCGACTGCTGATGAAAGGAGGTCCCGTCTTTACCTTCAGGGACCGCAGGAGAAAACAGTTTAGTGCTATTCTTTCTCCCTTGCCTTGGAGCAAGCGTTAAAACCCTATCTCACGGTGGCGGCAGAAATGCTCCCTCGAGTGAAACACAGAACGCATGGCATTTCCTTCAGTTCTGTGATGTGCCGTGGGCCTGGGGGGACGGGGCTCTGCCCCTCAGAACAGAGGGCGCCCCCCCAGGGCTTCAGTCATGTAGCGGGGCATTTGGTCTCCCATCCTAATCAGCTGTTTGTGAGCCACAGGTGAGCAAACTCTGGGCCCCGGCAGCCAGCGGCCTTCGTCCTCCGGCAGGTGTCGGGGGGGCCACCTGACATGCACCTGCTCCTCGGGGCGGGGGTGCAGGGGGTGCTGGGCTGCGTCTCCTCTGCCCAGCCCCATGTTCTGAGACATCTAGGCAGCCTGACCTCAGCCGCCATGGACAGGTTTACACCATGGAAACCGGCAGAGGCCACAAAGGAGGGCTGACGGTCGCGTTTACACAGGGGGGCTGGCAAACGACCTCAGGGTTCCATTTTGGGTGAAGAACGTGTTGCCGGGATTTGCTACGTGTTCCTGCTCCCGGACCAAACTCTATGGAGGGAACTGCTCACCCAGAGATCCCAGCCATGAATCCTTCCGATGTGGGGATGGATGTCTGGCCCACAGCTGAGAGCCATTCCGCCGAGACAGGCTGTGGTGGTAGGAGCGGCGTGTGGGGACCAGCAGCCACAGATGGGCTGTTCAGCCCCTGGGAAGCCTGCCAGCTCCAGGGGAACTGGGACCAGGTGAGCGGCCTCTGACTGACACCAGGCGCTCACCTGGGCTCCTCCCGCTGGAACTGGGAGCCCTCACTTGGGTGGGAGCCGTGGCACTTGCTGGAAGCTCCCCCCGGCGCTGGTGCATGTGCTCCAGGAGCCTCCTCCCGGCCCCTTGGCAGGTGGCCTCGTGGTCCTGAGTGGGGGCTTCACCTCAGAGGTCTCGGGACCTGCCCTGTCTCCGGCCTGACCTGCCCGGCTACAGGGAGCTCTGGGGTGCAGAGAGGGAGCTGCACGGAGGAGAGCTGGGTACAAACAGGGATGTGCAGAGACCTGCTCTGAGGAGGTGGTGGAGAATATTCTGGAGGTGGTGGAGAAACTCCTGGGGGGGAGACAATACACTTGGCCTCGGAAGGCAGAGGTGGGTAGGAAAGGGAGTGAGGAGGGCTCTGGGCAGAAGGCTCAGCCTAGGCAAAGGTACGGAGGTGTGTGTGTGCACAGAGCGATCAATGCCCACAGGTGCCTGTGAGCGTGTCTTGTTCACCCAGGGCTCTTGTGTGGGCTGGAAGGTGAGAGTCTAGAAGGCTGTGCTAAGAAATCCCGCTCATTCTGCCGGCAGGTGGGGGCCAACGATTGTTCAGGAGCAGAAGAGGAACACAGAGGGAGCTGAGCGCTGGGACCGTGGCTGTGGGCAGAGCTGTAACGACGGGGTTGTGAGGGCACAGCTCAGAGGTAGGGACAAGAGGAGATGCCATGGTGGCTCAGAGGCCTGGCAGAGCAGCGGGGGGACTAAACCCTGATGCGGAAAGGAGGCTGCTTCCCTCTGGCGACCCGTGGTCGGGCTGCAAGGGGAGCAACGCACCAGCACACGATTCCCCGGCAGCCCGGCCGAGCACCACGGGAAAGGCAACGGGGCCTTCCCTCCCGTTCACCCTGAGCGAAGCTGATGTCCTTGTTGCTACTGAGACATCAGGAGAAGCTAAGCCATGTTCTGTGCTTTGCCTGAGAGGGTTGGGAGCTGCTCAAGCCGGAGAGCCATTTACGATGCAAAACATGGAGAACACCAGCATCACCCCCTCTGCGTGCTCAGTGCAGAGAATTCCAGAACACCCAGCCACCGCAATGCTTCCTGCCGGTGGCCGTGGTGGCTCGGGGAGGGCCCCTCAGGCTCCGGGGCAGGAGATGCTGTGTCGTGGGGATGACACAGAAATGCAGAACCCCGACTGGCCACTCCCACACCCTCCAGCTCATCTCCCAGCCTGCGGGGATGAGTGAAGCCGCTAACTCTTACCTTGGCTTTTCGGGGAATTACTGAACTTCCTTCTGAGAAGATAAGGCGCCGTTGTCACCTAGAAGAAAGAAGACGTCTCTGGGCATCATGAATTGCAGTCATTCTTAGCAACACGGGGAGCTAACTTGGGACTTCCCACGATTCTTCCAGATTCTAGTGAATTCCATCTGCTGCCTTCTGTTCTTCGGCAATATTGGAACTTTTAATATTAATATTAATATTATTATTAATTTAATATTAATTAATATTAATATTAAAATACATGGTATCAATAAATGAAACACCAAATATCAGAGCATAAAAGAGACGCCTATGTTTGTCAGCAGAGGGCGGGAGGGCAGGGGGAGCACACATTTCAGCCCCACGGACCTGGGTCCAAGTCCAGGCACCACCCACCCACCCCCATGATGTGGACGACTGTGTGTCCTCTCTGAACTCATCTGGAAAATGAGGCAGTAGCCCCTCCCGGGGTTAGTGGGAGACTACCTGCTCCTCACATGTTCCCAAATCCCATGGCTGCTGGTCCCCATGCCTTCCTTTCACCCTCACTCCTGCTGACTGCCTCTCCATGATGGGATTGTCCTCTCCCTGTTGGGCATGAGCAGGTGGCCTCACTCCCCTGGAAATCTTCCCACGTCTGGCCTGGTATTCTGCCTGGCTGGTGTGGGGGATGCACCTGGAAGCCTGCTGGAGAGGCCTCCAGGGCTGGGCTTCCCTGAGCCCATCAGGAAGCCCCATGGCCTCCAGAAGAGGGTAGGAGGTCAGGGCCAGGGGGCCCGGGCTGAGACCCCTCCATCGTTTATCCTGTCATTTATGTTCTGCATGATCTCAGCCAAGGACGTCAACTTCTCTGAGCTTTGGTCTGCTCACTGGGACAACAGGGTTAGCCGCAATGCTTCCTCACCAGGTTTGTAAACCTCAGATGGAAGGAGCCTTCAGAAAAGCACTGTTTTTAACTATAAAGAGCTACCAGTGTCATTGTCACGACACACAGAAGTGCTGCGTGTTCACTGTGGCTCCGAGGGGACATCAGGCAGCAGGCAGGACTGGGAACAGACGCCACTCTTTCGGGGGCACTGGGGAGGGCACCTCCAACCGCACCCCCAACCACACGGCCTACACCTTGGAGATCCCCTGCATGCTGTGAGCAGAGCCACCGTCCCCCACACCCTGGGCCCCGTAACACCGCATGCTCGCTGGCTCCTGATGCTTCCACAGCTGGCCCCCATGTCCCCCTGGTGGGCCTGTCCCCAGGCCGCTGGAGCCCGCCAGCCCGCATGGGGCCAGGGAGAAGAGCTCAGAACGGACCTCGTCCATGACTGGTGGCATTGGAGGGGGGTTGTCCATGCGGCCTCCTTGCCCCACACAGGACAATGCCCGGGGTGTCACTGGGAGCCACAGATACCTTGCGTGGGGTCTGCCGAGGTGGGAGGCTTGCTGGCCTCCTCCTGTCTGTCCCACCTTCCTGCTCCCCATCTGGGTTTTCCCGGATTTCCCCAACCAATGCTCTGACACCAAGCCTGACCCTGTGTGTGCCTCTGGGGAAGCCACCCTGTGGGGCAGGCCGAGCCGCACGGTGTGTCCAAGTGAGCCCCACTGACACGTGTCAGCCCCCGGCTCGCTGTGCTGCCAGAGAGTGGCCCCGATCTCTTCCTCCTGGAACAACACATACCTCCTCCGTGGGGTCTGCATTCGGATCCTTAGGATTCCGGTCCAGTCTCTCAGCAAGCCGGGGAAGAAATATCTGGGGGCAAGGAAAAGGCCTGTACCTGACGGTGGCTTGTTTGAAGCCCACCCCAGGGGGACCGGCAGGACAGGGGCACGGCCTTTCTCCGTAAACATGGGGCCAGGTGCTCAGGGATGGCCCGTCAGCCCCCAGCTCACCAGCCCAGTGGCCTGGGCTGCCAGGTTCTGCCCAGTAACACATAGGACAGCCCGTTAGCTTTGACATTCAGAAACAACGAATACGGTTTAGAAGCCTGTTCCAAGTATCGCAGGGGATATACTCATACTCGAAAGTGACACGTCATTTATCTGAAGTTCAAATGTCCTGTGTACCTCCTGCAGCCAGACCTGCGGCTCCCCCGGGACCACCCTGTGTTTGCCTTCCAGGTTACCCCACTGGTGTGACCGGCTCCGGGGACCCCAGCTTGACTCTGGGTGGATGAGTGTTGGTCCCAGACCTGCTGCGGAGGGTGGGGGGCAGCCCCCTCCCTGCTGTCCCCAGGGAATCTGTTCCAGTCACACCCAGCCAGGCTGGCGGGGCGGGAAGGGAGGGGGCCACTCAGCCTGTTGGTTTCAGGCCCCGGGGTGGCTCTGGCAGGGGCTCTGGGCCAAAGCCAGGTGCCGGGCTTCCTGCACTCACCGGCAGGTTAGATTTCATCCGGAGCTTTCCCGAAGGCTTCACGGTGAGCCCTGCAGCCTGCAAGGCGGCAATCTTGGACTTGATGTTGGAAACCTGCAGGAAAAGGACGGACACACGGACGTCACTCTGATGTGCCAGCTTGACGTCACAGTCCAGGAAGAGTAGCCTCCCATTCACCAGCTTTCTTATGGTCCCTTTAAGATGGGGTCCCAACAGTTCCTGGGGGCCCATTTTCATGTATCTTCATGGTTGTCGGGGAGGGGGCTGCTGTTCCTCACGGGTCACCCCCATGCAGGAGGAGAGGGGCTCTGTACACTTTCAGGCGCATCGGGAAATCTGGCTCCCCCCAGGGATGGCAGGAGGGGCAGTGACAGCAGACAGCGTCACCATAGCTCTAAGGGACAGGTGTACACTACGGGCAAAGGCTTGGCTGGCGTCTGGCAGAGCCTGCCTTCCTGACATCATTTTAAATGAACCCCCAACCCTGGCTCCCATAGTAGCCAAAGGAAATTTCTGGAAACAGAATCAAGGCCCCATCACCCCTGTTCTGGTCCCTCCAATGGCTCTCTGGACTCTGCCCTCCTCTTGCAGCTGCCTCCCACCCTCTCCCCCTCACTCATTCTGCCCCAGGCTCAGGGTTTCACTGCTCCTTCCTGAACATGCCAAGTTCAAGACCACCCCAGGACCTCCACATATGTGTGCTGCCTTCTCCTTGCAATATTCCTTGCTGAGCAGCCCACCTGGGGGCTCCACCAAGCCACCCTCACATCCTCTCTGCATGGCTGGCTTCAAGAACCGATCCTTGGTCATTGGCTTGGCCTCTATCTCCTTCCACGAAAGCATAAACTCCATGAAGGCAAGGCTCAATCTAAGAGTGCAACAGCTGTGCCTTTGTGCCTTGCCATTTTCAGGAGTTTGAAAATCGTTTGCTGAGCAAGAAGGAATAAACTAATGCAAAGTCCTCGGGGTGGCTTGTCCCCAACACGCACAGCTCTGGAGACACGCTCTTTACTCCTGGTGGATACCTGCTGATGAGCAGAAGTGAGAAAGGGCTGTGGGTGCGGACTCCCCTTGCAGCCCGAGGGGCAGACACTCTTTTCTCTGGGGGACCCCGGGGGAGGGCAGAGCAGAGCTCAGTCATCTTGGCTGTCCCTGAGAGACCCTGGCTCTGTCCTTCGACCTTTGTAGGCTCCCGACGCTTGAGTCCTGGACCCACACCCGGGCTCACAGGATGACCTTTGGGTCAGAGTCTGCTCCAGAGCCCCAGGGTTGTCCTAAAACTGGAGCCTGCTTCTGGAGAAAGCCCCTCCTCCCGGGACAGGGAGGGGTAAGCGTCAGCATCATTTCTGTAGGTCTAAACACCCTGCCTGCCTCTCCCCAAGGTGAATGGGATGAAGACAGGGGTGGTGGTGTGGGCAATCCCCATGAAAACTCCAAGCTCCTGTTCTGGAGCTTTGGTGCGCTGTCCACAGCTGCCAGAATCCCGCCACGATTCTGCCTGGAGACACCCCGCCCCGGGGACTGGTGTTACCTCGCTTTCCACCTGCTGAACCTCCGAGGCCGTGACAGCCACTCTGTCCTCCAGCTCCAGCAGCTCCTTGTCTGTGGTCCTGCTGGGCTGCACGAGGTCCTGAGGGTCCCCGGGGATGGTTTCCTGTCTGTACATCTGGCCCGAAGCCCCGCTCACCTGGGAGAGGGAAGCATGGAGCGTGACGACAGCAGGAGAGACGGCAGGGCGCTCCCCAAGATGGGTCCATCCTACGGCATTCTTTCCTCTGAACTCGGGGCTGGTTGACTAGCTGGCCGGCTGGGGGCTGAGCCTCCCATGCAGCTCTTGTTGGGGCCCAGGGCCCCCCAGAGGTTGGCTGGCTGCCTGGGGTGGGCAAGGGGCTAAGTCACAAGCTCTTGCCTCCTGGCCGGGGAGTCAAGAGCTCTTGCCTCTGCCCAGGTCCTGCTGAGCCCAGTCATGCGGCCTTACCTCCAAGCCTGCCCCTGGGAGGTCCCTGATGGAGGGGCTCCTGTCCAGTTCTGCTTCTTCCTCCTTGTTCCCCTCCTCCTCGGACGAGGCTCCCTGGTCACTTATGTGGCTGGTCAGCTCCTCCAGCTTCCTCCTGAGGGTCTCCTCTTCTCTGTCGGCATCTGTGGGCTCGCAGCCTGTGAGACACTGAGACCACCAAACAGACTGGCATTCAGCTGGTCATCTGTGTGCACTGTGCTCAGAGACAGGGCTCTGGGAGAAGTCTCCATTACTCGCCCCCAGTGCCTGTGCTGGGGCCAGTCCTGGCCCTTGTGAACCGGGGTCTGTAGGGTGGGGCACTCCCGTGATCCTGTCGCCACCCAGGCCAAAGATCCACCATTCGTGACCAAGACACTGAGCTTTCCTTTGGGGACACTTTTACCATGGGAGGACAGTTCTTCCCTCCGACCCTAAATGGGGTCCCCAAGATGAGGGAGTGGCCGGCAGACAGAGCCCACTGTCACCAGCAGGAATCTGGGGCCCAACACTGCAGAAGCACTAAATTCCCAAGAACTGGAAGGAAAGCTAAGGCCACCATCCATAACGGGACCTGGGAAGGGGAGCGTGAGGCCCGTTTTGACATTGAGAGTTCTAGAACACCAAGTAAAATCTGGGAGTGGCACCACAAGAGAGGGCAAAGGGTGAGCACAGAAGAATGACAAATTCAGCAAGCGAGGCAGCAGGATCTGAAAGGTATGACGTGTCACTACCGTAAGGTAGCTGTGGTCACCGCCAATCCTGGTCGGCACAGGAAGGCACTAATTCATTATGCCAGGATGCTCAAACTAGAAGTCATTAGCTGGTAAGAGCCTCCGGTCGCTCTGGGCCAGGAGGCACCAGCTAACAGCCTCAAGTGACTAAAAGTACAACTTCCTTTTCTCCTGAGTCACCAGAGTCTATTAGCGCCCAGACCAGACCTGAGAAAATCAATCCTTCCTTTCTTCCAAGCCCAGCAGGTGCATCCTTCCTGCCATTATCTCCTCGGGAGCTACCCTGTTTTCAAAGGGAAATGCTGAGCGAGAGGATGCGTTTGCTTTGTTTGGTAGGTAATTGGTTTGATCTTCACATCACTGAGGGCTTTGAGTGGGCAAAGCTGCCCAAAGAAGAATACAAAAGCTGAGAAACGTCACCGCTGGGTGAGGACTTGGAGCAACTGCCGGTAACTGAGCCGCCGTCTGGCTGCCAGGGGTGGAGAGGTGGGATCGATACCCGGCTGAGAGCGTGCACAGACTGCTTCTGTCTTCCGGGGACACGTGCACAGGACACGTGGCCGGCACGGAAGACCCCACCCCCTTACTGAGAAGAAGAGGGTGATCCACCGGTGCCTGACACAGTTGCTGTCAAATGTCACTTCCAGAGTGAAAAATAAAAGCATCCCGAGACAAGGAACTGGGGTTCTTGTTCTCATCTGGGGCTGGAGGAGAGACAGAGCTGAGTGGTGACAGGACCCACAGCCCCTTGCAGGGACCCCTGGAATGGTCTGCCCTGGGTTTTCCCCAGGGTATCCGGCCTGCTGCCCACTTGGCCTTTACACAAAGTGTGGGACACGTGCTCTGGGAGAGGCTGGGGGAGGTGGAGTTGGAGACGAGCTCTGAGCATGAAATAGGGAATCATTCAAGGAGGCAGGAAGGATGGCGCGTACCAGGAGGGCTGGCTAGATGTCAGGGAATGTGTTTTACTGAAAGTTCCTACAGTCGTTAAATTAAAACTTACTGAAAACAGACAGTTCCAGTCTTTATCACCTTGTCATCTGACTTGGGGTTCCTCTGTCCACTGTGGCTTTGCCACACAGGGAGGTCCCTGCCTTGGCCTCACCGCCCCTCCATCACCATCCCCCAGCCCTGCTGGGAGCTGACCCATGGTCTGATCAAAGGTTACTTTCCTGTGTAGTGTTTTCCTCACTCTTCCGTTAAAGAGGGTCCAGGCCCCTAGAAGTGTGAGCCACTCTGGGTGGAGAATGCTGGACGGCTTTCACTGCAGACCTTCTCAGGGTCTTTCACACCCTGCTGTGCTCAGGGCAGAGGGAGAGCGCCCTTCTTCCAGAGGCAGAGGGTGGGCACAGAGAACTCTAGCCCATGGCTGTAGAAAGCTTCTGGGTAGCTCTCCAGGAAAGAGAGTCAGCTGTGCCTCAGGGCACGGACTCTGGAGAGGGAAAGACTTCATATTTCTGTTCTGCTGACATCAGCCCAATTTTAAAACAAAAAACATACACCGATTCCTCAAAAGCCACGCGAAGAAGTGCTCCTTCTACAAGCCTGCTGCTTTTTTTTTTGGCAGATCCCATTTCCCAAGGCTTGGACAGAAGATCAAGCTTGGAAGAGCCTCTCACCTTTCCTGCATCAGCTGAGACTGGGGAGGGGCTGGCACCCCACCTGCCCCATGGGGGTCCCGCCCCGTGCTGGCACCTCTGCTGCTGGGGACAGAGGGTTCAGCAAAGTCTGGGTCCCACTGGGTAGCTCCACTAGTCACCGAGGGCCATGGACGGTGCTGGTAGAGTGACAGCCAGGAGTTTTAGGGGGGTGTGTGGACTGGGGCTGTGTCAGATGAAGCTCCTCCTGGGTTGTCAGAGTGTGCACAAGGCTAAGGGGCTGGGGAAGGCCGGAGCTCCCTGCAGAGCGGCCCCTCCCACCTGCATCTAGAAGGGGGCCAAGCACAGCTGCACGGGTCCCAGCTGCTTTCCGCCTTCTCTGAACAGGCTCAACATCAGTCATTCCTTCCACCTAACAGCCTGAGCTCCATCCCTGGGTCCCCTGAAGGGAGAATTCCCAGGGGCACCTCCCACTCCTCAAGTCTCCCTGGGGGAGGGTCCCAGGAGGAGCTCTGAGCCAGGTAATAGAGCCTGGGTCAGTCCCCGATCCTGAACACAAACATGCCTGAGACCAGCCATGGCTGAGCTGCTGCAGGGACTCCATTCAGAGCAGGGCTCTCCTCTTGGTTTCCTGCCTCTGGCTGCTCACTAACAAAAGGCCCTAATCCCAAGATCTCCTCTGTAGGAGTTGGGCCTTGCCAGGGTCTCCATGAGTCTGCATCAGCCTGTGGTCAGGCTGTCCTCGTATAAAGTGGGGTGGCCTTTCCCTCAATAAAACGTACTTGCTCAGATCTGACTCTGCTGTCTGTAAGCGGGACCATGGTTTAAATTCAGGGAAGGGAACCCGGGGTACTCGGAGGGATCTTGTGATTTATGTCATAAATCAGGGTCTACAACGTGAGTGAGTCTCACTCATTTAACAGGTGTTTTGTATGTTAAGTTAAATTTTCTTAAAACCTGCGTAACATCTACTAAAGGCATACCGTGGTGGAGTATTTGCTCCTCTTGTAAATGGCAGAATGCTTGATGGGGTGTAAGCTAAGAATCTGCCTCCAGAGGAACTGATGAGGGAGCAGGAGGCTGGCTGAAGACAAAGCAAAAGCTGGCACCTTGCACCCCCTCTCCATGCGCTCCCCCTCGGTAATATGTGTAGCATTCCTCAGGCACCCCTGACTGTCACAAACGATAAACAAATAGTTAACTTGCAGAGATCACAATCCTGCAAGACAGGAGTCTCCCTTGGTTTACAAATCAATAGCCAGAGGCAAATAACTCCGTTCCTCAAGCCCTAACGTCTCCCTCCCCACCATAAATGAAACTGAAGGAGGCTGAGATAGAAGGGAATGTAAATATAGTTAAATCTCTTCTGAACCTAAATCTCATTAACAAAGACGATTGATAGCAGGATTGTGACATCCCACTAAAAATCTCCCAACTATCTTGATGTTAATGGCTTGCCAAAAGACAAAACTGATCAAGCCGCAAGGCCTCGGATATCCCTGTAGGCCGTCTTTAGCATATGAAAACTCCGTTGAAACCTCCCTTCCCCTCCCCTTCCCCCAACCGCAAGGTACATAACCTGCCATCCCTCACAACCCGGGGCAGCAGCTCTTCCTGCCCACGAGTCCTGTCCCCGTGCTTTAATAAACCACCATTTTACACCAAAGAGGTCTCAAGGATTCTTTCTTGGTCATCGGCTCCGGACCTCAGCCCACCGAACCTCACCTAGGTTCTAGAACTTCATCAGAACCAAGCACTGGCACAGGCCACAGTATGGATCCTGAAACCGTGACTCCGCGTGCAGGAAGCCAGGCACGCACGTCTTGCGGTGAATGCTCCCGTCTGGGTGCAATGCCCACGGCGGGCGAAGCGGGGAGACGGGAAGCAGGCCGGTGGCCGCCGCAGCTGGAGGGAGGGGATGGGGAGTGACGGCTCATGGGATCGGCTTCCCTCTGGGGCAGTGACGTTTTGGGACCGACAGAGGGGACGGCCGCACGAGGCTGTGAATGCACTGAGGGCAGTGAACATGAACTTCTGGACGGTGAATTCTACATTATGTGGATTTCATGCCAACAGGACAGCGGACATTTGGATGACACTGCTCGCACGTCTCTGCTACACAGGCCTGGGCAAACGTGCGGCTGGAAAGCACTGAAAGCTTTGATTTCTCCGAAGCAACTTGGCATGAAGGTTAAAAAGTCTCCATCCAAATCATCGGCAGGAAGGAAAGTTTCGCAGGTGCCTTACCTGGCTCTGGGACGGGGTGTGGCCGCCTCCTCCGCAAGGGTGGGAGGCAGCGCGGGGAGCCCTGGGGCTCTCGCCTTCGTCCTCTGAGGTGTCCATGTTGGCCAGATACTGGGAGGGGAGCTGCTCACTCCCGATGGCGCTCCTCCCTTTGGAGTGAGAGTGGGATTGCATTATCCAGAGCAAAAGGCTGGAAGTCAGCGCACACGCTTTTCCCAGTAAAGAAAAATGAGACATGACAGAAACCCAAGAGTGATTTCAGCCCCCCGAGGCGAGGGAGCAGAGAACCTTAGATTAAGGTCAGAGTGGAGCAGATCGCAAGCCCTCACATGGTACCTTCAGGAAACAGGACCTTGCCCAGAACTCTCAGTGGGGCCAGAGGAGCAGAGACCATGTCAGCCGGGTGACCACAGTACACCAAATTCCACCACGCGAAACTGTGTGCCTGGAGCGTGGCTGATGTGGGGCCCCGGCAGCGTCCGTGAGTGGTGGGGGCTCTGGAAAGTCTGTCCATGCTGGTCCCTGAGGGCTATTTCTCACATCTGTGTGTGGGCACGGGTCACCTCCAGCATGCCCAGAAATGCTCATCCTGTGCTCCAGATTGGGGGGACCTTACTGTCCCCACAGCCTCACCGGAAGGTCCCTCCCCAGGGATCCAGACCCCTCCCTGGGAGATGGAGTTGGAGGGAGAGGCGGTCAGGGCTGGCCGCATGGGAGTCACTGTGCATGGCCGCTACTGTCCTCCACAGGCACCAGGCCCCACTGGCTCAGCGAGTCCTGCCAACAGTCCTGCCAACAGGTGAACGAGCTTGGGAGAGGGCCCCGAGCTCCAGCGAGACTGCAACCCCGGGCCCCTCTGGTTTCAGCTTGGAAGACCACATGCTGGGGACACAGTCCAGCAGTGCCCGGGACTCCCTCCCATACGGACAGGATGGAGATGCGCTGTTTTACGTCAATACGTTTGTGACACTACAATCTTGTTTAGTGGCTACAACGGTGCCACACGCCAGGCATGAGCCCTCTTCACAGGGAGGAGAGACTGAGTCACAATGGCTAAGCTGGTGGAACAAGCGGCTTGCCACGTTCCACCCAGCCTCAGACGATGCCCCTGCATGTCGGGAGGATGTCCCCTGAGATGCTCCCCGTTCCAGGGATGAAGTGAAATTGCTGGCTGGTCAGAAACGTGGTCTCCCTTGGCTCCTCCCTCCCTGCCTCCCACCCCGTCGGTGTCCTCACCACGGGACGGGATCATGGTGGGGGGCAGGGAGTCTGTGACGTCCCCGTCCACCCCCATCCTATGACCTGTTCAATGCAGATACATTTATTCACTGTTCAGGGGGAAGTAAAGCCCCGTGTTCCTCCCCAAATGCCTCCAGCACCCTAATCAGCCTGAGGACCATGAGATTATGTTCCCTATAATATAATGAAAAGGAAAAATGGAAAGGGGACCGATTTCCTGGCAGGAGGTGTCTTAACCACATTTCCTGGCAGCTGGCCCCACGCGGCGGCCACGTGGGGGCTATTAGTGGGAGGACCGGGCTGCCTCTGTGATCTCATCTGCTCCTGCATTAGGGTGTCTGAACTCCTGAACCCACACCCCCACAGGGCACAGGAAAAGACAGCAATTCAGGATTTCATTATGAAGCGCACTGTCTGACAACAAAATTAAACTAAGCAAGTCTAGTTCTCAGCACTTGCAGAGCTTGTGATTCGTAGCTGGGCGCTGGCGGTGGACCAGGGGGAAGCAGTGTCCAAACGGGACCTGCATTGTCCATCCCCAAGTATACCGTCTGTCCCAAGTGCACCGTCTGTCCCCAAGAGTACCGTCCATTCCCAAGTGCACTGTCCAACCCCAAGAGCACCATCCTCCTCCAAGTGTACTATCCATTCCCAAGTGCACTGTCTGTCCCAAGTGCACCATCCGTCCCCAAATGTACCATCCATCCCCAAGTGCACCGTCTGTCCCCAAGTGCGCCATCTGTCCCCAAGTGCGCCATCTGTCCTCAAGTGCACCATCCATTCCAAATGCGCCATCCATCCCCAGGAGTACTGTCCATCCCCAGGTGCAGTGTCAGTCCCCAGGCTTGGACCTGACCTGTCCTTTGGTCAGGATGGATGGTCCACGTGACCAGTGATCCCAATCATTTCAGGGACACCTGCCTGTCTCTACCCCAAGCCAGCTCAGTACCCTCCCTACAGCTGATAACGAGCTATGTGACCAGCTGAGCTGTTGATGCTGGGACTTCTGAGTGTCAGGACGGCAGCGCCCAGCCTGGGGGTTGGGGGGAGTGGGTGGGGAGTGGTGTCTACCAGGACCAGACATGCCAGACAAGGCGGTGAAGGAACGGGTTGCTATCAATCGGCCGGCGTGTCTGCACAAATCAGGGCAGTGGGAGGGTTTTCTGCTGACCCCTTCCCCAATGCAGAGCCCATCAAGGGACCTACCAGCTGTAGCAGCAGTCCCCAGGGCTGTCCTGAGGGACTCTCCAGGGACGCAGAGCTCAATGAGGGTGTCCTGTCCCGCAGGGGAGAGGCTGTCCGTCTGCTCTTCTGGAGGGGGATGGCATCCAGGGGTAACCATGGCCTCTGGGGAGGCATCCTTGGCACGGGGTTCATCCGTGAAGGTTTGAGCACACGGGACCTGAAGGGTGCGTGAGGTTTTACTAGGAAGGGCAGCTCCCTGGCACGTGGGTCTTTCCATCCTAATCTGAGGGTTTCCAGACCTCACGGGAGCAAACGCTAGGCACTCCCTGCTCTGGCCCCTTGCAACTCAGGTCCCTTTATTTGCAGAAATCCTGCAGAGAACCATTTACTGCCTACTCTGTATCATGTGTCCGTGGAAGGCTGGGGGGCTCTCGAGACCCTGGGCCACTCACTGTACAAGGGAACACATCTGACAGCTCAGGGCTCTGACCCACCTAGAGCCTGAGGCCCCAAGGAGGTGGGTGGGGGAGCTATTTTCTGGGGGGGAATGTGTTGTTCTAACTGCATACACCCTAATACTCCCAGAAAGGTAAGCGGGAGCATGGCAGGACCCCTGGGGGCCCCTCGGCTGCAGCCCCAGCCCCTCCTCCTCTACCCTTCCTCTGGCCGGCAGAAGCTTCTTTCTGTTGTGCCCTTGCCCCCAAGGACACAAGGTACTGAGGGTGTCTGGAAGTCACACGCCCCAGCTCCTTTCCAGCTTGAGGGGGCAGGGAGGAAGCGGTCCTCAGGGCCCGGAGACCACAGGAAGCAGAGGCCACAGGGGCTGGTCTTGCAGCTGGAGCAGGACTTGTTGTCCAAAGACCTCTGGGGTGCTGGCTTGCTGCCCTGCTGTCTTCTCCCCTGAAGCAGTCTGTGGATCAGCCCAGGCAGACACAGCCCCGCTCAGCTCAGGCTTGGAGCTGCCGGACGGATGCCCAGGCACCTATCAGGCCCTGAGTCCAGGACAGACAGCATTCCTCTGGCCTGCTCCCCTGACAAGCAGTCCATCCAAATCCCTGGGGCCCCTCATTTGTCCAGCCTTGGTTCCCCTCCTGCACTCCACTTTTCCAAGGGGCCAGCCCCGTCTCTGCAAAGATGGAGGGTGTGAAGCTTCTGGATCCTGCGGGATCCCAGATCCTCAGCACCCCAACTCCCTCCCCCATCCCCCCGGCCCATCAGGCCTGCTATGGCCATCGGACTCCTTCCCAGAGTGCCGTCCCCCACCTGGGGCCCGAGCACCTGTCGCTCAGGTTATCCTGGGAAGGACGGGGGCAGAAACGAGAGCCCACTGACCTGCAGGCTGTCCGTGGCTGCTGGGACTGGGGATGAATCTGGGGGGTGACTGCCAGACCAAGTTGAGTCGTCAGAGTCGGCCTCAAAGTCCAAGTCGTGAATAGAGAGACGCTTTTTCTTAGGTGCAGATGTGGGCAAGAGGAGAAGAGTCGGCGTCAGCTGGATGGCAAGGACCTGGGACCCCTCTGTCCTGGGCAGGGAGGGCACCCCCAGGGGCACCCTCACCTCCCACCCTAGACACAAACCTGAAGGAGCTCAAGGCAGCACTAAGGGGCCCAGATGGCTCCCTGCTCGGAATCCCCTGCGAGGTCTGCCTCTTTAGCCTCTCTTAGAGGAGCAGAAGGAAACACTTGCTGGACCCAAGGGGCCTAACACTGCTCCGATGTCCCGAGGACACAGGCGCCGGAGCGCGGCAGCCTCGGGATGGGGGGCGGGGAGCACAGGCAGGCTCCTCTGGGGCTCACAGATGCTTCTCTCCCTTGAGAAGTGGGGGGACAGATGGTTCAGGCAGGTGAGGGGCACCCCCTGGGAGGTCCCAGAGGTGGGGGAGAGCTCCAAGTTGTCCAGATGAACAGCACCCACCTACTGAAATCCTCCCTCACGCTAATCTTGATCCTTTAACGGCATGATATAGGGAATATTCCAGACACTGGCTAGTATTTAAGCTCCCTGAGTGGCACATCTACAATTTTCTCCCTATAGACTGGCCAGATCTGGCCAGAGCTGAATGTCATGGATCCTGGTTTCTTCCCGATGTCTCCAACTAAACTCCTTGTCTCCCCTGCCCCAAACTGCTCCCCTTCCGTCATTCCCCCCTCCAATCTCCAGAAACCCTGGGGGGGTATTCCGTTTGTCTGTCACCAAAAACATGTTGCGAAATAAGTGAAGATGGAAATGAACCTAAAAGCAAGGCTCGTGGCTGGCTGTAAAAAAAGTAAAATGTTTAGAGGGGAGTCAAAGAGGTTCACTTCCCTGAAGGATACCAAAGCCACCTGGGAAGACAGCAGGGCGCCCTCTGGGACCCCTGCCCTCACAACCTCAGAGCGTGCTCCTGGGACCCAGACTGGACAGGTTGGGTGGGCTTCCTGTGGGCTCTGTCCACCCCATAGTTTGCTTTGGGGTTTCTTATGGTGAGACCACGTGCTGAAGGCATGATCCCGTCTGGTGCTCGGTGTCTCAGACACTCTCCGGGCACAGCCAGGGAGGTAGGGTCTCTGTGCTCATGCTACGGTAAAGTCAAGGAGAACACTGAGGTTTTTAGGACATCAGAACCCCAGGCTCCAGCTGGGGGAGCAGTGGAGGTGACCGGGGAAGACCTACTTTGCTGCCAATGAACTGGGCCTGGGCTGCTGTGTCCAGTTCTCCATCCTCATCTGTCTGCTCACTATCTCCACTTCCCTCGCCAGCGCTTGCCTCAGGCCCACCTGCAACAGATGCACGCATGACTCAACCCAGGGAGAGAGATGGGGCCCAACCATTCATTCCCCGCCCACCTATCCACCTACCCATTTATCCATCCAACCGCCCACCTACCACCCATCTACCCACTCCCATCCACCCACCTACCAGTCTATCCAACCAACCCATCTACAACCCATCCACTCACCCACCTATCTGCCCACCCACTTGCTTACCTACAGCTCATCCAGCCACCCACCCATTCATCCACTCTCCATCCACCCACCCACCTACCCATTCATCCACCTTTTTTTTTTAAGATTTTATTTATTTATTTCACAGAGAGAAATCACAAGTAGACAGAGAGGCAGCAGAGAGAGAGAGAGGGGGGGGAAGCAGGCTCCCTGCTGAGCAGAGAGCCCGATGTGGGGCTGGATCCCAGGACGCTGGGATCATGACCCGAGCCGAAAGCAGAGGCTTTAACCCACTAAGCCACCCAGGTGCCCCCATTCATCCACTTTCCATCCAACTATCCATCCATCCACTTATTCATGCACTCTGCAAAAACGTGTCCACCTATCCATCCACCATGACACATTCAGGCAAAACCATCTGCTGGCCTTCCAAAGACCTATCCAAGCATCAGTGAGACTTGGTCCGAACCCCAGAAGAAAACTACTACTCTGCATCTGTTTTGTCAGGGATCATGCCAGCGGGCATTTGTCCTCCATCCAGGGACTCCTCGGGTAATGCACATCCCTGGCCTTGCGGTGGGTGAAGGAGGCTGAGAGCAAAATCACGTTTTCTCAAACAGTCATTTCATGAGTTTATCTGCAGTCTGCAGACACAGCTTGGAAGGAGGTGAGTCTCAGCCCCAGGGCGCCCGCCCCTCCTCCACCCTCCAGGCCCCCTGCCTCACCTGAGCACCCGGACAGCCCCGTCATAGCCTCTTCCCTCTGCTTCCCCACTCACACTGACCTGGCCCCTGTTCTCCTTTAGGTCTCTAGAGGGGTCCAGGAAACAAGCTCTGGGATTTTAGAGCATGGATCGTCGACTTTCCCTCAAGGGCCGTGAGGACATCCCTGCACTTGGGGCACGTGGGCTGTGGGGCTGGGCCCACACGTGCTGCCCCTGCACACCCCCAGCCCTCATTCCCTGTGCCTTTGTGTCAGGGGAGGTCTCGAGTGTGAACGAGCTGGGCATTTACTGTACTTGAGAGTGCCCCGTGCAGTGGGCCCCCACGCTAGGACCCGTGCAGCAGGCAGACAGGCTGATTATTTTCATTCTCTGGACTGTGAATCTTGAGGAGACTTACCCCAAACCACCAGACAGAAGACACTGAGCTGAGCTCTGCCTGCGTGCGGGGAATGTGGGCATGGATCCCAGAGGCCTGGGGCACACGCGTGTGTCTGTGTGTGTGCATGTGTGTGTGGGTGTGCGTGTGGCCCATCAGCATGGAGCTGCCCCCAGGACTGAACAGGAACAGGAGTTCTGCGCCCCTTTTGGTCGCCGACTCCTTATAGCTCTCTCTCCACTTGGGACGAGGGTTTGAGCAAGCCCGAAGGATGGTCCCTGATCCTGACACGGAAGACAGTTCTCAGCCGCTCTCACAGGGAGGAGGGAAAAATCACGAGCCCAACGAGCTCCGAGGACTTACTGTGGATGTCAGGCGAGCCTTGTGCTCTGTCAGGTAAACCTGGAACCAAAGGAAAGGCGCTGGGAAGAAAGACCTCCCCCGAGACCGCATGTTTGAGCTCCGTTTCCTCTCATTTCCTTCCCGGCCCTGGGACGGCTGTCTCTGGCAGCATCCGCCGGTCCTGCTGTGGGGGCCTCGGGAAACGCCCCGGTTGCTCTGCAGGTTCACCGGGAGAACCCCCTGCACCCCCATCCCCCACCCTAGCCGACCGGTTTGCATTCGGCCCTGGCCGGCCAGGCCTCAGAACAGTAACTTCAATCATTTCTATTTTTTCAGTTTGACTACTGGAAAACACACACACAACTTTTCTTCCCCGAACCTTCTGTGACTCAGTGAACTGTGCTCCCAGGTGCCCCCGGGGCGGGGAGAATCCAGACTGGGCATCATCCCAAGGACGCAGGACCCTGGGGCCAGGTGGGAGCAGCAGGGAGTCAGGGTTCCTATTGTCCCACAGCACCACCTTGTGGTGACAACTCTGACAACTCTGAAATCGGCACGTGCAGGTTGGTGGTGGCTCCAGGAGCTTCGGACCTCGGCTGGGCTTCACAATCCCCACAACCTTTCATACGACACAGATTCCTGAGCCGGCCCAGTCCCTGGAATTGGCACCTCCCAGAGCAATACTAGGTCTTCAGGGGTTCCAATGTGGCCTCTGTGAACAGGGCCGCCTTTGGGATCGAGTTTCTCAAACGCTTTGCAGTGTGGCTTTCTGCCCTGCTCCCTGGGGTTCCCACCCTTGAGCCCTGTGGCGGTGGCCAGACCTCCAGTTGCAGGAAGACCCCTCGGCCCATCAGATGCACAGGGAATGTTTGTGGAAAAGAGAAGATCCAGGCCCCAAATCAGACGCCCAGGGAGGAAGGGCCTGGAGAACATGTTCTATTAACCAGTGCCTGGTTACTTGACTAGTCACTGAGTTTGAGACCTTAGCTACGATTTTTCAACCTGCTAGGAAGCCTTGAAAGGTAGGATTTCAAGCAGTTTGGCTGTTGACAGCATGCAAGACTTCCCAGGGGGCCACAGAAAGCAGCCAACCTCGTACAAAACACCCGAGAGGGCCTGACAGGGGCACACACCCATTCCAAAGGATCTACTTGGTCCTGAAACCTGAAACACGCATGGGAACAAAGAGCAAGCCCAGGGAAGGGTGTGCTCCTCACCTGCCCCCTGCAGCCGTCCGCACAGGGAACGGATCACTTTGGCACTCCCAAAGCGCTTGAATCGGGCTCTCAGGTGCTGGTGGTACCACTCCAGAGAGCCAATCTTCACAACCCTGCAGAGACAGGGGCCTCAGGCCGAGGCACGGTGCCGGGAGGCATGCGTCCATGCCCACCCTTCTTCAGCCAGCACCCCCCAGGGGACCCGTCAGGTCCTGGCACCCACAGGGTCCCTTGGATGCCGGGCCATGCCTCACCTGGCCAGGTGGCAGGGGTCGCAGAGCCAGCCCTGCTCCTCCAGGTGAGCATGGCTGCAGTCCTGGCAGGTGAAGAGGTGGCAGTCCAGGCATTGCCTTCTGGGGGTCGCAAGGAGCCGGTAGGGCTGCAGGCAGCGGGCACAGTGGGTCTCATTCAGGTGCGCTGTGTCAGCAAGCAGCTCCCTCTGGGAGCTCTCCTTCTTAATCCGGCCCTTCAACCCCCTTGGGAAAATATCAGAAACAAGAAATCTATGAGACACCTGCCTTGTTTTTGCAATAGGTTTTAAGTGCTTGCACGCATGGATGTGCAAGAACACACACACACACACACACACACACACAAACACACACAGAACTTTCTCATATACAGAAAACAGATAAGTCACCCCCAGGCAGTCCTCACTGTCTACAGGGCCAGCTCCACGCTCCTGCTCTCTCCCGGGGGGGCAGGCAGTGGGGGGAAGCCCAGCAACTCGGGGTCAGACATGTGCAGTTAGGGTATTAGAATTGAAATAACTCTATTTTTATAGAAATGAAGTTGCCTTTAAACACTTCAGGGCCTCTTCACAATCTGACATTCTTTCAGGCTGCCTGTCCGTGACTTTCAGTGCTAAATAAAGGGCCACAACCCATCAGGGCTCAGAATCACAGGCTGGGACAGTTGCCACCGCTTGTCCTCACCACCTCACATAACCCATAACGGAGAGAGGAGGGACAGAGGTCCGGAACCCCAGCTTGGAGACGGAGCCCGGAACTTTGCTGATGCGCAGCCCAGAGCTCAGAGACTGTGCTCCAGCACCCCGTTTCACGGGATGAGGGTGGGTCTAGCAGTCCCTAGCACGAGGGGGTCCAATGTTCCTCAGAGCGGGGTGAAGTCGGTGGCTCTGCGGAGCCCAGCAGGGCCAGAGCCAGGTGGGAACCTGGGGGTGCACCTGGTCTGGCCACAGGGTTATTTCCAACTCCAATCTGTTGCCCAATCCAGTTGTTTGAGAGGAAGTTAGAGAAGAGAGAAAAGTCCAGGCGGTTCACGGGCTGGTCAGCGCTGCCACAGAGATGGCAGAGATAAAGCTCATCACAAGGGCAAGGCTGTGCTCCTCTCTCTGACGCCCTGCTCTGCCTTGTGGCCTGAGCTAATGGCTCTGTGTGGAGGGAGGACGCCAGGCAAGTGGGGGTTGGGCACTCTCCCCAGGAGGCCACACAGAGTCCTGGGGACAAAGACGGGAGGTATCTCCTTGCAAACAGTTCGGGGTCCCTTCCAATAGGTGAGCAAGCTGAGCTGCCCACCTCCCCCCAGTTTGTTCCCACACAGCAAGCCTGTAGTGGCCTCGTCTGGGAGGTGTCTGGTGCAGGAAACATCCAGCACTGGGTTGTCCTGGGAAAACCACAGCACCCCCCGCCAGACCCTTCTGGTGGGCTCATCAAATTGAACCGACTGGGAAATGTCCCCTCCACGTCATGGACACACTCCGTCTGTTCTGGATTTTAGAGAATGTCTGCCAAATGCAGTATTTTTAGTTTTCAAAGGGACCTACTTAATCCATTCTTAGTGACAAAATCAAACGGACCCAGGGAGCCACTGTCTTGTGGGAACTCGCGGCCTGTGGTTTCCGATGGGGACAGCCCAGAGCTCTTCTAGGAAGCTCTGGGACGGGACTCCCAGTTTTAAGTGGCATTGTCTGCACTTCTCTGATTTCCCACTCCCCGCTTGTTGCTCAAACACTCTGGAAGGTCCCACAAATGAAACTCTAGCCTCAGCTTTGAAAACCAAGCAAACATGGCCTCGTGATGGCCGCAGTCTAGGGGGAGGACTGTCATGCGTGGAGAAAGCTGCACTGACATCTTTGCTTCAAGCCTGGGAGCACAGGTACCTGGAACCCGGTGGGGAGGGTCTCTTGACCTCCTCCATTTCCACTTTGACGGTGTCTGGATCAGCCAGAAAATCTAGAGACCACCCTTCACCTCTCTCCCAGCGGAGTGGCCCTTATTCTGCATCCAGGCAGAACCACACCCCCAGCCCAGCAGGAAGAAGGATGGGGGCCTGTAGGACACACCACAACCCGGGACCGGAAGTCCTCTGAGATAAGAGCCATGCGGGTGGCAGCTGGACACTGACATATTCCAGGGTCAATCACCCTGATCTGGAGTTGCATGGCGAGGAGGTTGTGGGGGTGCCGAATAATGCACACACTCTGCTTGTTGCAAAATGGGGTCGACCAGATGTCTCTCCACGATGGCTGCATCGGCAGGCAAAAGACCAACATGCAGCTCTAAGTTCAAGTCAGCCCCAGGGAGAAAACACCCTGTTCGTGAGCGACCGCCAGAGCCGGAAGAAGACTTGAAACAAGTGTGCTTGTGAGCTACCTGCGATTCAGAGAGAGGAGGAAGTAAAGAAGGAACCAGGCTGAGATGGAAAGACCACAGGCTATGCTCACTGAGGTGGAGGAGAGATGGCCCAAACAAAGATGGGAAGGGATGGAAACTGACAATGGGAGGAAGACGGGCGGAATGACCCCCGCAAATACTGTGTACCACAATTTAGAACAGGGGTTCTCAAGGTGTGGTCCAAGGACCCCTGGAGATTCTGAAGATCTTTTAAGGGGTCCACAAGGTCAAAACTATTTTAACAACAATGCTGAGATGTTACTTCTCTTGTTTGGCCTTGTCACCTGCAGCAGTGGCGGAGAAGCAATGGCAGCTGAACAGCTAGGACTTCGCGTGGGTCAAGGCAGAGGCACAAACCGAACCAGCAACCTGTGGTATTTGTCACAAGGGTAAAGAAGAGCAGGTCTTTGATGAAGTATGTCCTGATTAGAGGCAAGTCCTTGATGCCACAATAAGTTACTCATCTTACTAACCTTGACCCTTGAGCCGTGTCTTTGTAATGCCCCACGTGAAGAAACGAGCAGCTCACACTGAAAGCATTTCTGTTCCATCCTGAAGCACGACCGGGGTCTTGACGTAAGGAGGCAGCCAGTTGCTGGAGTTCTAACATGAACTAGAATTTTTTTTCACGAAGCATCATTTTTACTTAAAAGCACAACAGGAAGCTAAACTCTTCTGTCTTGTGTGTTGGCCAGACATTCTCTTAGAAATGAACACAGTGAGCTCGTCACTGCGAGAAAAACAAGTGGCGATATTTGTGGCCTATGACAAAACTCAAGCTTTCAAGCATGAAGAAGAACCTTGGGAAATTTATGTCTGCCACCATGAGCCTGACAGTGTCTGTCACCTAGAGGCTGCGGATGAGATCAGTGGTGACGGTCATCAATGTGATTTTTTTCGGCATATGATGAAATGTGTCACCATTTGGAAACTGTTTATGGTGTGACAGAACCTCACATGGATACAAAATGGGATCTGAGTGCAGGACAGATCAATGGAGTTTGGTTCAAGGATACGCGTTCAGATCTCACTGTCTACCTACTTTAAGAAACCCCCAGTTGCTGGGTTCCCCGGTAATATGAAAGCACAGCATCTGTAATCATCTGGCAAGAGCCCCCAAACCCACCCCCCTTTCCCAACTACACATCAACACGAGGCTAGATTTTCTTCAAGTACTTCAGCCAAAACAACATATTCCAATGCATTCAAAACAGAAGCCAAAAACGAGAATTCAACCATCTCCTAGTCCACCAGACATGGAAGGGATTTCCAAAAACACAGAACATGCCTGTCTTCTCATTTGTTTTGGAAAAAGTTATGTTTCATAAAAATGTTGTTTACATTTAGTGTATAAGGGGTTTACTGTTATTATTTTTCAATGGATCAATGAATATTTTAAAAATGCCTGGTTTTAATTTCTGATAGGGTATATAATCCATTCAAACATAAGCCCCTTGGGGTTCTCAATGATTTAAGAATGTAAAGGGACTCTGAGGCCAACATGTTTGAGAACAGCTGATTCCGGGGCAAGTTTGCAGTCGCCGATGCAGAGCAGAGGGCTGAAGGGATGGGCATGGGCGGTGGAATCAGGGACAGACGGAGCAGATGCTCCACAGAGGGGTGACCCTGGGATCAGAAACCCACAGCACCGTGCTCTGCCCACGGACTTCCAGCTTGCCCTGGGGTGCCAACATCCAGAGCCCAGAGTAGAGGGGAGATGCCAGCTGTCCTCAAGACGGGCATAGTGGCCTTGCAGGACATGGTGGGTCTGGTGCAAGGAATGCCCTTTCAAGATAGGACAGGGGAAGCGAGGCCCCCTCTTGGCCACAACTGGGTATGGAAGGGGCTAGGGGCAAATGAAGAGGGCAGACCCACGTGTCATTGCTCTCCCTTTCTTAGGTTGGGAGTCCAGTGGAAACGTGTGAGTACTGGGGACGGCCTAGGACCCAGGGTGCGTGGTGCATCTTCTAGGATCAGCTAGGGAGGAGCACACAGTGGCCACACACCCGTGTCCCCCAGCAGCCACTGAAATAGGGATGAGCTCGGACCATAGCTTTTGCTTCTGGCCCTTGGATTAGACTCTGTCCCTGGAGGACAGCATGAGGTGCTGGGAAGCCCAGGGACTGGCAGTCTTGGGCTTGGAAGAAGCCACAGCACGTGAGACTGACACTGGGGACCAGGAATCTCAGTGGGGGGTGCCAGCCCCTCCCAATGCCCGGCCAGGATGATTCACGAGCTGAGGTCCTTATTCTGGAAGCAGACCTGACCCTCCACTCTGTCTCAGGGACCAGGAAGGAGCCCATGGGCAGTGCTTACAGCCAAGACCCCAGCAGCTCTGTCCCCGAGGACCCAAAGCAGGAGGTGTGGGGAGATAAAAAGAAAGATAAGACTAAGCCATAAAGAGTCAGAGGAAGAGAGCAGAGTGTCAGACACCAGAGAGGAAGCTGAAGGTTCCTTTTGCTCAGGCCGTGAGGACCCACGAACAATCTCAGATGGGAAACGAACGAACGGCTCTTTTCCGCACAGCTCAGTTGGCTGTGAGTTTTGACTGTGCCACGAAAGTGGCGATCACTGGAATACAGGAAAACTCTCCAAGCAGGAGAAGAAAAGGAGCTGGGTCCTCAGATCAGGAGTTGGCGGACCGCAGAGCGGGTGGATGACCCGCACAGCTCCGTTAGGATGCGGCCAGCTCGCGCTGGGGGGCCACGAGTTCGGCAGGCAGGCGCTTCTCTGGGAGGTGGAGAGAGGAAGCTGGAGGCCACAGGACAGTTTCCTGTTGCTGCTCTGGCAAATGCCCACACATTTCATGACTTAAAATAACACGGCCTTTTTACCCGACGGCTCTGGAGGTCAGACATCTGACGTGGCTGTCCTGGGGCTGCGATCAAGGTGTTGGCAGGACTGAACTCCTTCCGGGAGGTTCTGAGGGGGTGGGGTGGCATCTGTTCTCTCGCTTTTTCCAGCATCCCAAGGGCGTTATTACTGGCCTGAGGCCCCTTCCTCTACCCTTCAGAGCCAGCCCAGGCGGTGGGGTGCCCTTCCCAGCCCTGTCCTGCCTCCCCCCTTCCTTTGATCACCGTGGTGATCGCCCTGAGCCCAGCCGGGTGGCCCAGGACCGTCTCCCCACGTCCAGGCTGGCTGATTAGCAGCCTTCGTTGCACCTACCAGTGCATCCACATAACCAGCCCCAATCACAGATTCCGGGGGTCGGGAAGTGGGCGTCTCTGGGGGCGCGTTATTCTGCCAGAGTTCTGAAGGGAGAGTGGGCGAGTGGAGACCTTACTCCCAGCAGAGATTCCCGAACGTCAACTCCACAGCCTGTGCCCTTCCTGAGAAAATAACCGGCAGACGTGCTCCCGACGGAGCGACGATTCCCAGGTGTGAGCCCAGGAACGCGGTGCTGGGGCCGATGAGTCCCAGAATCAGGATGCCAACTTATTGAAAGCACAGAGCCCAAACTCAGCAGGACGGTCAGTTGCGATGGAAGGAGGACAGTCGAAGAGCAAGTGTGTGGATCTACAGTCCCAAGTGTGTGAATAATTACCAGGAAGGATAATGACGGGAAACAGAAACTCACTAAAGTTCTGTGAAGTCCTTGGAGGGGACTGACCACAGGATGTGTGCCAACAGGACAAGTCTGACCAGTCTGCTGCTGCGAGAGCCAGAGGCCCCTGGTCGCGTGGGAGTCCGGGCAGTGCTCTCAGGCTAAGCCCGCCCCTCAGGCCCAGGGCGGTCCCCCAGCTAGGGGGACCTCACAACCCTTAGGGGCAGCATTTCTAAGGCCAGCCTTGTCTGTCCACGTCTCACGCCAGGAGAGCTTCTGGAGAGCGCCTCAGGAGCCCGGATCTGTTTGCAGATTGCGAACCCACAGTTCCACCTGTTTGCCTTTCTGGGGAAGGCTCGCATGGCTAATATTTGATTTTTGGGCTGTGCCCTTGAAAAGAGGGTGTGCTATTTCAGTAAGCTCTGTCCTCGCCCAGGGGCATGAGTCACTGCCTGGGCTGAGCGCTCCCCCTCCCCCTGCGCTTTGCGATGACCCAGTCCTTTCCAGCACAGAGGCTGCTGAGAAGCCACCTCCACAGATGGGGGTGCAGCCCAGCAGACTGCAAACTCGGGGTCTCACCGGATCCTGGGGGCAGTCCGCACATTGGCCATTGAGTACAGGCTCTGAAATGCCATGCGGAGTCTCCCCTTTCTCTCTGCTGCGCATGTCGGTCGGGTGAGGCTGCAGGTGTCCTGGGCCCCGGCTCTTCCCCGGATGGAGGGAGTCAAAGAGCTGGGCCCTTCCGTGCATGTTCCCTGCAAGGAGGTTTCCTGAAGTGCTAGTCTGTACTTACGAGACGTTAAAAAATCACGTGTATCTTTTCTGTAGCTAAGACCTCTTAATACCCGAGTCATGGGGATGAATGTCGAACACTTAGAAAACCCTCCCCCACACAGTCTCACAGTCAACCAGTTCTGGACACGCGTCACAGGAGGGCCCACCCTCGGTGTCCGGTCCTGGAATCCCAGCTAATAAGAACCGCAGAGCGGCAAGCCTGTCTAGGGAGTAAATGATGTAACACACTCAAAGCCCCAAGCACACATTCATCATTTGTGCACATTTGAAGACGGCCATGAGTCTTTCTGTGGTCAGGCACTGGGCTGGGCGCTAGGAACCAAACTGAGCCCTCACTGGGCTTAGATATGGGCGGGGAGACAGATTCAGACCTAAGTGCTTCAGAGGGAGATCCAGCGGGCTAAGCAGAAAGAAATGGTATTCAGAGAACAGTGGCTATTTCAGAAAGCAATCTGGGGAGGTTTCTCTGAGGCAGTGATGTCTGAGAAGGGATGGGAGTGATATGAAGGAGGGTGCAATGGGGAGACCTGGAGGAAAGGTGACTACTGGGGGCCATGGGGAGAAAGACAGCAGGGCAGGGAGGTGGAGGGGAGATGTCCAGCAGAAAGATGGACTGGAATGAACTGGGGTGGCTCTGTGTGGCCAGCGAGTCACAGCTGGCTCAATGAGGCTTATCAAGGCATGAAATGTGGGATGAGAAGGAAGGAGTGGAAATGACCATGATGCCTGGGCACTTGACCTCAGCAACCAGGCTGATTCCAAGATGCGGAAGTGGAGACCTTGGAGGAATCAAGACCTGCCTTAGACACGCTGTGTTAGAGATGCTGGTTAGACCCCAGCCGAGGGGCTCAGCAGCCATTTGTCTACATGCCTTGCAGGTTCAGAAGACAGTTCTTGGCTGAGGTCATATATTTGGGATTTGCTGTCTATACCCACAACATCCAATATGGTAGCCACAAAGCACACGGGGTTACTTCAGCCAGTTACAATGAGAAAAACAAACACAAAGTTGGTTCCCCAGTTGTATCAGGCACATCTCAAGGGCTTAACAGGTGCAGGAGGCTACTGATCCCCACTCTGGAGAGAGATGTAGCTCAGTTCCTCAGTCCATGGGGCAGTGTGGGTTCAGGGGGCATCAGAACCATGGTGCTGGTGTGCATCCTCAGGGAATGGGTGCACACAGAGCAGAGCTCAGATGGGGTCCCCGACCCTCTGAACGTGACTACTGTGTGGGGGTGTCTAGGAAGATCAGCAAAGAAACAGAAGGCACTAGACCCCCAGATGTGAGTGTGGGAGAATACAGCAAGAAAAAGGGCAATGAGTTCAGAGCCTCTGGTCTTATTAGACTTTTCTATGCATTTTTTAAAAAAGTGAAATGCCATAAACCCATACATTTTCACCCCCTGCTTTTTCCACTTGGTACCTTGTGAATTGGTCATGAAGATTTATTGCTACAGCTTTATTTCTAATGGGCTCCAGGTGATCCATTGTTGAATTCATGGTTAAAGTTGGTTACTTGGTGAAAACTTGTAATTTTGGACATTGGGGTCTTTCCAGTTCTTCACTCTTAATGATCCTTGCTGTGAGGGATAGCCTCTCTTGCTTCTCTCCTTTGCATGACTTTTAGCCAAGAGCTTGCTGGCTCAAAGGGCTCACCCCCATTGTAGGGCTTTGGCTATGCTATGCCAGACTGATCTCTGCAAAGGTCTAATGTATCCCTCGTTTCAGCCCTGCACTCACCCACACTCCAGCCAGGCTGACTACTGGGATTCTCATTCATCTTTGGAAATATGTGAAAACGATATATTTTGATTAGTTATCATTTCTTTTGTTATTCTTTCAGTTATTTCTTCATTTTTTTCTTGACTATGTGCATTTCTTCTTTGGTGAATTTCCTGTTCATATCCTTTTCCCATTTCATTGGATTTTTGGGTGGTTTTCTAATTTGGAAAACTTACTTATCTTTTTGATTTTAAGAAGCCCCTTATATATCAAGGATAGGAATCCTCGCCATTTCTGTTATATTGTTTCTTCTTCTTCTTTTTTTTTTTTTTTTTTTTTTTAGTCTTTTGTACAATTTTATTTTTTCCCTTCAACCATAATAATATGATATCCAAATTTTGTCTTAACTGGAGGGTCTGTAAACACAGGCTTATCCAGCCCACTTACAGGCAAGGCAAATGCTGCTTCTTGAAATGGTCCTACCATGGAACCTCTGGTCATCCAACCCAAGTCGCCCCCTTGCCTGGCTTTATCTTCACTATACTGTGTGGCCACTTCATTGAATCTCATTCCAGACTTTAACTTTTCCATGGCTTCCATGATTTTCCCATATTTTTCACACAGAATGTGTCTGACCTTTACTGCACTGCCACCACCTTTGGGACCCTGAGCCTTCTTGTCAGAACTGTCACTCCCAGAGGCTGCTCCCCATTCCCCCCTTTCCTGGAACCACTCTTTCCCTTGGGCGGCATCTTCGGAACTTGCGGCAGAACCCTCTGTTTCTTCTTTTTAAAAATTAAATTTTTTTTCAAAATTTCATCTATGTACGCATTTATTGAGTCAATACTTATCGATTGTTTCTGTTCTAATTTCTCCCTGTGTTGCCATATGTTGGTTCTTTCGCTGCAAGATTCTATACGTATTTACCCATATTCTCTCCCAGGAATATTCCTAGTTACATGGCTCATGTTTTTAACATTTCAATTAAAAATCCGAGATTAACTCTCACTCCTGCTGGTGGTCAACTGTCCCCAGACAGTCCCCAACTTTCCTACTGGTATGAAATGTTACCTTTGTTGTAGCAGAAATTGTTATACACACTGCTGTATTTCAGACTTTTCCATATTGTTTCATTGGTGACATCTGTGAAGGAACACTTTAATTACTGTAGCACTGAAATAATTTATCTCCTGGAACAAAGCCCCTCTTACTAATTTTATTTAAACTGTTCTATCTTACATCTTTGTTCTTTCATACTGTTTTCTCACATGTGCCTTGGGAATTTGACCGGGGTTATGGTTCACTGATTCCCCCGAAGTAAGACGCTCCCATTCTCTAGAGCACGTGGTGTCACCTGCTATTTATTTCACATTTTTGAATGTTGCTCCATAATGTTTTGTGTTATTCTTCATACTGTTTTTGCACATGGCTGATATGTATATTTCTGGGTACCTCATCTTTTTATTGTAAATAGAATCTTTTTCTATATACTTCTAATCGATTATTTTCGATGTCTAAGAAGGGGACCCTGATTTTTTTTTTATATTCTTTTGTAATTAGCCAGACTACAAAATTCTCTTTTTTCCTGGTTTTACAGAGAACGACCTTGGGTTTTCACATCTGCAGGTCATAGCTATGGATCTCCATGACCACAGGCTTTATTTTGTTATCTTCTCTAATCGCATTGGCCAGCACATCAGGAACAAGGCTAAATCAGCAGTGATGAATGCTGATGATAGAAATCCTTTGCTTGTTTCTAACATTAATATTTCTTGATGACTCTTGTTTGAGGGACTCTTTCATCATGTTAAGAAATTATTTTTATTTCTATTTTATTAATTTAACAAAATTATCAGAAATAGCATGCTACCAAACACTCTTCTGTGGCACTGAGATAATCCTATGTTTTTTTTTAAAGATTATATTTATTTATTTAAGAGAGCAAGAGCGTGAGAGCAGAGGGGGAGGGGAAGAGGGAGAGATGCAGGCAGATCCCAGGACACACTGGGATCCTGACCTGAGCCGCAGGCAGATGCTCAACCTACTGAGCCACCCAGATATCCCCAAATAATCCTACATTCTGTCTCCCTAGCACCAAGGGTGGCTCACAGCCCAGGCCCTGCACAAGGTAGCAGACTCGGCATAAAGAGGACGGTGCTCTCACACAAGGGTCTGTCCAACTTAAGGCTCGATGTTCATCTACAGCAAGACACATGTCCTCATTATACAGCCCACCAGTCAGGCCTCGATGGTAGGAAACTGGTAGTAAGTTAAATCTACCCTAAACCGCCTTACGGATGCCAATGTTGTTAACATGCTAATTTTTTCTATCTCTGAATTTTGGATTCTTTGGAGGGCAGCATCATGTCCTGATGGGAAGCCAGGAATGATAGGACACTTTGTACAGTGAACACCCCACTCCCAGGTGCCTGGTCCCACACACCAACCACAGGGAGAGATTTCTATGTGCCTGGGGCTACATCAAAGATGGCATGGCTTCCTCCCTTCTTGTCCACTTCCTGAAAGAGCCCGCAAGGAAAGCCACCCATTCAGGTGTGTCTGCCACTCTATGTGTCTGCTTCCTAGGGGAACTAGACCCTAGGAAAACTCCTTCCAGTTGATTTGGAGGAGTGGCATCTGTGTTGTCTAACCGCCCAAGTATCAGTGATCTGGGCCAGCTCATCTGTCACGTGATTTGACAGAGGAGACCCAACGGTGTATTGCTCCTACAGCTTGATCCAGCAGGCACTGGATTCTTTCCCCAGGGCTCTGTCCCAGTGGACTCGTGCTTCCATGTCTGGGGAGAAATACACCTAATACACATTTCTGTTAACTTGTAAATATTAAAAGAAATACTGTTGTTGTCTGTTTTCCAAATGGTCTATGCAGTAGTTGTTTAGCAAATGGCTCTGTGTCAAATTTGCTCCTGGCGAGTCAGGCCCAAACGCTGTGTCCTCCTGATGTGTATTCGGGATAGGAAAGTTCTTCTCATTTAGTGAACACGTTTCTTGGTTTCACAGTTGTTTCCCCATTCACTCGGTTCTATCAGTGGCTGTGGCTGGTTCCTTGAGCCAAGCCTTCCATCTGGCATCCCTTCTGGAGGACAGCAAAGACTTCAGAAACCCAACCGGGCGATTCCCAAGGTGCTCAGTTTGTCACGGCCACCAGCTCGTGGTCACCGGACCATGACTACTCTGTTCAGCTGGTTCAAAGATCAGAGAACTAGAGTGCTCACATGATAGCCAACCGCTCTGTCAAACCAATTCTGGTGTCAGGAACCCAGAGTCTTTATTTTTAGGCCGGTTGAGCAGTGCCCCTTCCCAGCAGAGCTGCCTGTCTGGGTTGAAATTCAATCCACGTGTCCTGACCTCATGATACTCATCGTGTCCATCCCCGTGCCTCAGGACCACATGCCCGGGTCCTGCGGCGGCCTGGGGTCAGCGGGACACTGCAGCAAATGTTCCTCACGGTCAGAGATGGCTTTAGTTTGTGTTGCATATTTAACTAACAGCACAGTGAACGAGAGACGAAACCATCAAAAATGGTAAGAGCTATAAAAGCCCTTCCCTTCCTCCTCCCTCCCAGAATGACTCTTTTCTTCCCAAACGTATCACCTGCTACATCCCTGTTTGTGCCACAGGGACTGGTCACGGTAATGGCCCCGGGCTTCACCACCCTTGGCTCAACATTACTGTGACACAGCCCTTCCCCGACGCAGCCTCTCAGCAGATCACATTTCCAGAGGTGGGACAACATTCCATGGCATTAATGTCCTCCAGGCAGCCTCCTCTGGTCTGGGAGGGGGCATTTGACAAGCCCACCCCAAGCACAGGGCAGGCCCAGTCAACAGAGCAGAGCGGGCTCATCCCCCTACACCCCTGCTTCCCTCTTCCAGAACTATCTTTTTCTGAGCAGACAGCATCAGGTACTGCTGAGTGAAGGGGGCACCCTGACCATATCTGTCCCGGGGGTCTGGCCTGGGCCACAGGCTGCACCCAGGACAGGGGGAATAATGGTTCACATTGCCATAGGAGCCTTCTGTTTCCGACAGCATCGACAGGCCAGCTGGGCCTGGCTCCTCTTGGCAATGTGAACGGCCCCAAGGACTATGACAGTGGGGAATGCTGGATATCAGAAGGGACTCACCTTCATGCAATAAGCACAGGGGTTTCTGCGAGACCCACTTCAGCTGTCTACACCAAGGAGGAGCAGCCCAGCTCACGGGTCTCTGGGACAGAGGCTGCCTCTTGCGACCTGGCCCAGGGGGTCCTCCCTCTGCTCCCTGAGAGCTGGGTTCCCCTCCTTCACATTTATCCGTGTTTCCATTTACACTTAAAATACACATGGACAACAGCTGGGGTACCTGCAGGCAGCATCTGGTCCATCCCTGGGGACGGGGATGCTGTCAAGAGGGAGGGGTAGGCTGGTTTTGCTGGCACGAACAGTGTGGCCCCCGTCAGGGCCCAGTGGTCATGACCAGGGCAGGGGAACTGTTCTGGTAAGAGTGAGAGGATGCTGCAGTGTTCACAGGAAGAAGGGAAAGAGAGGGAGGGACTTCAGCATGTGGCAAAGAGGGGTCATTGGAGGCAGAGGGAGACAGGACAGAGCACAGGGCAGGAAGCTCTCGCCCCTGCATGGGACTTGGAGGTCGGGTCAGGTCCAGACCTACCAAGGGCTCCAGTGTGAGGTCTAGTGTGGGAGCATTAGGACCCCTCCCCGCTGTCACCATGCTTGTTTCCCTTAGTGTCTGGTCCTTTGTCAGGGACTTTGTTCTGCATGGGGACCCAGAGGTCCCCTCAATGCTTGTCCTTCTCTGTCCCCTTGGGGGCTCTGGACTCCTTCCTGTAGGGGAGTCTCCTTCTGCCTGGTGACAACACCCTGGGGTCAGTCGAGTAATGCTCCTCCCGCGTGAAAACTGTGTACATTCCTAGTTCCTGGGACCGTGCATATCGGGATTGTGCAGACGAGATGAAGTCAAGTGTCTTGAGGTGGAAAGCTCCTCTGGATTTTCTGGGTGGGCCCAGTGTCATCACAGGTCCTTACAAGGCGCAGAGGGACAAGGAGGGGGAAAGTGGAGTCAGGGCTGGGTGTGCCAGGCTGACTGCCCGGGAGACAGAGGCTGGGCCAGGGGCCAGGGAGTGCGGGTACCCTGGATGCTGGGGAAGGCAAAGACAAAGATTCCTCCCTGGAGCTTCCTGACATCTTGATACTCAGACTTCTGACCTCCAGAACCAGGAGAAATGAATGCATGATAAGCCACTAAATTTACAGTGATGACAACAACCAGCTATTGGTGAAAAGTCCACAATCCTTTCTGAGCTCCCAGCCAGCACATGCGGCATCCACTTGTCCATCTGATGTCCCACAGACAACCTAACCGCAATGTGTCTGAACCCCTTCCTGGTTCCCCCAAACCTGCTCCTCGTTGCCGTCCCCCGGGGAGGTGGTGACCACCCAGCCTCCCAGCTACTCAGGCCAGGACCTTGGAGTCACCCTTGGCACCCATGCATGCGGGTGTGGGCAGACTTGCTGGCTCCGCCCACAAAGTCCACCTGACCGCTCCTCAGGAGCCCATGGTTCACCAAGTAGAAGCCGGGTCTCAACCCCTGCTTGATGGCGGCTGGGACTCGGAAGGCCCGGGTCCCACAGAGGCCTGCCAGGCCCCACACGCTGGCACCCCACTCCTCTCCTACCTGCTCTCTGCTTCTGCCCAGAGTGCCCTTTCAGGCATCTGCTTTGTTGCCCCCCTCCTCCCTGAATCTTTGCTCCAGTGTCCCCTTGATAGGACTACCAGCCCCCACGGACACCGAGAAAGGATGATAAAGGTGCACAGGGCACAGCTCAGTGTTATGGGGGTGGGGTGGGGTGGGGGGTAAATAATGGCGGAGGGTGTTGGTTCCACCCATGGCTGCCCACTCGAGGATGGGTGCCACCCAGCACTCTGGAAAGACAGACAAAGCCAGCCTTGGTCCTAAAACGGCTCCATTCCGGCCTTCTGGGTATTTTGCTATTCTATCACCTGTAGCTTGCTATGTCACGGCCAAAGCATCACCAGGCTCAGGAGACAAGATGACCCTGAAGCTGGGTCAACAGGAAATAAGACTATTCAGGGAACACCTACTCGCAGGCTAGAAAGTCAGATCCCCTCGTTTTAATTAGGTGGAAGCCAAGCCCAGAAAGGGGGACGGTTCCCAGCGGCCAGCTTCCTGTCCCGTGTCCTACACTGATGCTTCCTGCTGTCTGCCCGTCCCGGGGCACCCTGCGAGGCCCCCCACCCCGCCCACCGCAGAGGACGCCGGAGAGAGGAGCTCGGCCCCACACACTTACTCCAGTCTTTCCTCTTCTTTCCTTCTCAGATCAAAGTCCCTCTGAACCACTTCCCAGACATGCTTGGCCTCTTCGTCTGTGAGCTTGGAAAGATCCAGTTTTCTCCCCATCCTGCTTGTCGGGGTCACACCTGGAAAAGACAGCATCACCGGTGGTCACCCCGGAAGCCTGTGGACAGCAGCTAAGCCACAAAGTAAGAGGCAAAACAGAATACGCTGAGTTCTGGGCAGTTTGTCTGGACCTGGGTGGAACACTTTTCTAAAACAGGCCAATTTCTGTAGTTTAAAGGTGTCATATTTATGTGTGAAATCCCTGCACCCTTGGGACTCACATACTTAGCCACAGGGCCCTCTGTCCTTCCGATGTGACATAACGTTGGTGATGTCAGTATCTAGGGGCACCCCGCTTTCCCCCATTCCCAGGCCATGCTCTGCCACGGGAACCCCAGAAATGCTGGGGAAATGCTGGAGATGCACTCCATCCCTGGGGCTTCTGCCTTAGAACTTCTGGGGGAGCAACACCATGGAAAAGAGGTAATGTCTCCCCAGATTCCTGGTCAAGGTGCGGAGTCGGCCAATGCGTGCCCTGGCCTGCTGAGAGGTGGCCCTGGTGTGATGCCTATGAAGTTACAGTGTCTGTGGGGCGGGGGAGGGGGATGTGCATTCTTCCCATGGTGAGGTCGAAGTGCAGGCCGATGACGGGGTACCAAGCCCGTGGGCAGCAAGGTCAGCGGGAGCTCGGTATACCCGAAGGAGGTTGGCTGTGGGAGCTGCAAACCCAGGCGCACGCTGGCTTCACCGGCAGCTCGGGCTGTCCTGACATCCCTGCCTCACCCTCCAAGATCCTGACTTCATTCAACTGCTTAACAGAATTAAGGGTCCTTAACATTGTGTGATGCCCTGATTCTAGGTCACCTGCTGGCCAGGAAGGAAACTGCAGGTCATTTTATGCCCTATTTGTAGACGATAAGCCAGATCCAAGTCAATGCTAAAAGGGCAAGGAAGGAAAACCCAAACGCCAAAAGCCAAGATAAGTAGAACCTTAGAACCTTGCATGCTGTTGTTCAAAGTGCTTCCTATGGGGTGCCTGGGTGGCTCAGTCAGTTAAGTGTCTGCCTTCGTCATGATCCCAGGGTCCTGGGATGGAGCCGGTGTCCGGATCCCTGCTCAGCAGGCACCCTGCTTCTCCTTCTCCCTCTGCCACTCCTCCTACTTGGGCTCTCACACTCTCTCTCAAATAAATAAATAAAATCTAAAAAAACCCCAAAACACAACAACAGTGTGCCTCATGGACAGATTTTCAGGCCCTGCCCAGACCTCCTGATTCAGAATTTGTGTTTTAATGAGATTCCCGGGGTTGGGGGTCATGTTCAAACAGGAGTGGGCCAATGTTGCTGGTCCTGGGACCCCTCTGAGCCGGAAAGCTCTAGTGAAGCAGGACAGGGACACTGAGGGGTTGGCTGAGCAGAGAACGGGGACGGATGGGCCCTCCTGCTGGCTCTTCCCACAGAGAAATCACACGGGCCTCACAGATGCCAATGCTGCCATCACACGGGGCATGCCACTGAGGCATTACCACACCAGGGAGGACTTTGCCTAGGGATTTGAGCAAGCAGGGTTGGGGGAGCTTCCCAGAGGGGACCACCCTGCTCACCCCATCATGCCCAACCTTTGAACATTTCTTTGCACCTTCTGCTGTGACTGCCGCTGTCCCATCCGTCCCTGTCAAGCTCCAGGAGGCACAGACTTTGTCCTTTGCCTGGCATGCAGCAGGCACTGTTCTGGGCTCCCAGTGCTCTGACCCCCTGCACACTGCCCCTCGGCCCAAGGACGAGGCTGCCACACTCATGTCAGCTCTTCTCTAGGCACCAAGGCTCAGGGGAAGATGTGGGTTGGGTGACAGTTGTGCCGGGGGAAACAGAGTTTGAGAAGCTCTGTGTGACTTCGACAAGTCTTCACTGGGGACTAAAACCCGTTTCTCGAGATCCCATATGTCTGCTCTCCCTGGGGATTCTTTAAGCCAACTGAAAACTTGATTTTGCTTCTGAATTCTGGGGAGCAGCTCTCTTCCAGTGCTGCTGACCATTTGAATGTTCATCATGGAGACATCAACAAACTTGCTCTGGGCCAGGGATGGACTCGGATTTGTTTCACAAGGGGTGAGTTTTGTCAAGTGACCTTTTCAGGGCAGCATCCAGATACCATCTAAAATGAAAATTTCCTCAGAGCTCCCATGGCCCTCAACGAAAATATTCCCTGACTTGTTCCTTAAATTGGTGAGAAATAATTTCTTCATTTTTTTGCACCAAATCCTCAATATTTCCCCCTTTGAGCATCATGCTGTGAATGATGCGTTCTAAAGTCGCCTCAATGTGCCAGACTCATTCAAACTATTTTCATCGACAGCTGAATTTAGATTTTTGGACAAGAAAGCATTAAAACAAAATTCCCTGTTGCCGTTCTAGAATACACGATTTCTGGTTTTTGAAAAACTGGAAGAAAAAGTTCTTTCTTGGTGGATGACTGGGGTTGATTCATTTTTCTCAAACCAGTTTTGAAAAAAAAAAATTGTATCCTAAGAAGCACATTCATGGTGAGAGAGCCGTGACCGTCAGCTGACTACCACTGTCTCCTCTCCAAAGAGACACACAATTCCAAGCTTCCTTTAAGAAGCTTAGATAGTGAGGGGCGGGGGAGAGAGGCAAAACAAAAGGAAGCTAGAATACTCTTCTCGCTGTGCAAGCCTAGTTAGCCTAGAGCAAGCTCAATGGCTGGTAAGTGGATGGATGGGAAGGCCACTAGCTCACCAGAACAGTCCCCTGATGCTGAGGACATGGCCCCCCTCCCCTCCCACATCCTTCCTCTCCCCTCCCCGAGGTCCCCCTCCCCAGACTGTTCTTTCTCTTGGGAGCTTCTTGCTCATAAGGAGGGCTTCTTGGTTTCCAAGCTCAGACAGCAAAGACCATCAAGGCCCCAGGGACCAGATGCACACTGGACCTGGAGGGTCTGGGCACCTCTGGCGGAGGGGTGCCCGCCAAGAGTGGGTGAGCCCCTCAGAAGCAGGCTGACATATGCACAGGGGGGGACCAGAAGGCCGAGAGTGACAAGCGGCCTCACCCGCTTCTACAGAAATGGTGGCACCGTGGCTTAGCTCCCTCTTGGAAGTTATGATTGTGACGCTGAGTTATCATGGGAAGTGACCTATGTTCACTATACTCTGTTTAAAAAGCCAGAATGGACGTGATCTAAATTGTGAAAAACATGGATCTAACCCAGCCAAACCAAGCACCATGCGGTTGGACGTCACCTGAAAAGTTGAGCTTAGTGCTTATGTTGAGCTCTGACCCAACTTCCAGGAGAGCCGGGGGTGCGGGGCGAGGAGGGAAGGAAGAGGGATTCCAAAGCTCAGATCCGCCTGTAGGAGGCTGTGCCATGCTCTGGGGTGAATGGAGGCGGAGGCTCAGGGCGTAGCCAGGGGCTGAGAGCCAAGGGCCTGTGATCCGGGTCTGCATCTACCGGGACTGAGTCTTCCCACTTAGTGAATTAAGGACATGCGGCGGCTTTTAGTGCTTTTTGAACACTATCTTTAGAAAGTAACCCTAAATTGCATGGAGAATACTTTCTACTTGAGCATTTACAATGCACAGACCAAAAGTCGCTGGCACCCCCTGTGGCTTGCCTCGGGCTGATATGCTGCTGTGGACAACCCCCTGAGAGGCACAGCCACACCGTGGGACAAAATGGGCTCACGGAGGGGACAGCCCTTCAGCTAATTATCTGTCTCCCATCACTACACACTGTGCTTGCTCCCTGAGACCCCGATCTGCCCCTGGAACCCCTCCACCCACAACAGTCCCGGGGGAGCACGAGGGCAGAGAGCCTGCGGACCCACCCACCACCCAGGAGAGGGGCTGCTTTTGTCCCTGCCCCCACCCAGGGGAACCTCCCAGGGCGTGTGTGGCCAGGAAGGCCAACTCCGCCGGGCTCCAAGTCATGAGGTTCCTGCATGAAATGCTTTCAATTTCGCCCGTTCCACTGCTCAGATTTAATCACCTTTTTAATCTCTGAGACGGTTAGCCCTCCCTAATGGTTTTGTAGTTGTAATGGAGAAAAGCAAGGGTGTCGTGGTGATAAAAGAGTTGCAAAGACCATGGAATGGGTTTTACACCGTGGATATATCCCAGATGCGGACCACTGAATTTCAATGGTGCGTCATGTTTCTTTCTCTGTTCAAGAATTGCATTCATAGTCTGGCCAAGTTCAAGGGAAGTGTGGGTGGGGGCTCCTCCTACAGGACATTTGATTTGACCAACCTCCTGGGTCAGCTGCCCTTTGAGCCTTGGAACAATGGCACTTATGTGCGGTCACCTGCCCTGAGCAAATAAAGCTGGAAAACAAGTCCAAGTTTGTCAAGAAATGCCCAAATCCCAAAGGAGGCAGGAAGGCTCTCTGACTCAGAATCGAGGCCACGGCGGTGTCCTTGCTGATAAAGGTGAAGACACATTCCCAAGGGAAGGCAAACGTGCCAGCTGTGGGGCCCTCGGTGTTGACCCCGCTGGCTGTTTCCCAAATGCCACCCTCTGCGCTGGCGGGTGTGGCTATTTCTGCGACCAAGCCTTGCTGCTCTTTAGAAGCAACCAAAGCCCCAGCCCTTGTCAGCTGCAAAATGAGCGCATTTCCACCCAGAAGCTTCCCCCAGACCCCCACTCAAGGTGCTGCTTCTCCAGCAGCAACTGCACTGGGGGAGGTCTCTATAGCTTGCCAACCGCCCCCCCCCCCCAACTGTCCCTTCTCTCTGCTCTCTCAGGTCTCTGGGCGGTTGCCGGTGACGCTTGTCATCTATACACAGACATAGCTTCTGCATGTGCAGCTAAAGCTTCAGCCCCAGTGTCTGCAGCAAGAATAGGTGAGGGGTGAGGCTGCAGGGAGAGGACAGGGCCAAGGGTCAGGAGCTGGGGTCCCATCCCGGTGCAGGTACCAGCTGGCCCTGTGACATAGGACAACTTCCCACCTCTCTGGATCTCAGCTTTCCCATCTGGGTCATGGGCAGGTTCGGGCTCCAGGAGCTCTCCAGCCCTGCAAGCTGCCCGAATATTAGAGAAAAGGGAGGCTATAGGATGGCGGGAGGGGCAGAGCTTTTCCTCAGGGGTTGCTTCTCAAGCAAGTAAGATAGTCAGCCCCAGAAGGCTGACCCAACCATGTGGCTCACACACACACAAGCAAGCACCATGTTGTCATCCAAGGGCACTGAAGTCACCTTTCCCGTTAGCCTTCAGGGCTCTGAAACCTCCTTACCACCCCAAGCCCCCCAGCAGACCCAATTAGCTGGTTTTCATGTCTCAGTCTCTAATGTCTTAATCAGTAAGACCCACTGACTTCTTTTCCGTGATCCTGGAACTGTCCTCAGTCAGTCCTCCAGAGCATCTACCACCGTGCCCATTTTTTGGATGTGGGGGAGGCCCTGGGGATTTGGAAGGGGATGGGGCTCTTGCCCAGGAAAGTTGTGGCTTGGCTAGGGTCCTCTGAGTGGCCCAACAATGACGTGGAGGCGGGGACATCCAGGAAAGAGGTGAAGGAGCTGGATCCAACGCTCCCTACAGGCGTCAAGCCCTTGCCCTTTCTGCGGGCCTCCCAGACATGGCCAGTGCCTGCCTTGGCATATAATGGGCTCGTGTGGGCCACACCTACCCCATTACCATCTGGACCTCTCAGAAAAAAATATGTAAATATGATTAAAAAAAAAAACACACCATATTAAAAGAAAAAGTAGACGCCCAACTGAAAATAGAGTTTTCAATACTGGGTTAAGGTTAGTGGGAAACAGGTGTCTAACTAAGCCTGGGAAACTATAGGGGATTTATAAGGGAGGGTTAGCTCAGGCCAGGACCTGGGTCCCGTGTCCACTATGCCATGCCCATCATCCACGGGGTCGTGGGGGGGGGGGGTTGTCCATATCTCTGGAACTAGGCAAATGGGGGGATTGAAGCGGGGAGTGCTCTCTGTAAACAAAGATGACTATAATAAAGCTGGGGCTTTTGGAAAGCAAGAGGAAGGTCAGGACCCCCTCCCGTGGCAAAACATCATCAGGGCTCTTTCCCCCCAAATCAGCCCTGCAGTGGAGGTGGAAGACTTTCATCAGAAGTCCTTGGGCCCCTGGGAATCCAGCCTTGGGTCCCCTCCGTTGACCGAAACCTCAGCCCTGGACGCGCTGGGACTGCTGCAGGCTCTGATTGAAAGCACTGTTTTGTCCAAAATGGGCTCCCTGAAAACCCAGCAGTCTGATCAGGGTATCCTTGAGACCTGGGTTTGGTGGAAAGGGAGCGCCGGCCTCAACAGCCTGGACCAGGGCCTGGGAGCCCCACCCCCGCCCTGGGCATTTTCACCACTCGGAGCTGCACACAGCACCACCGACCCTCCCTACGCCTGGGCCCCCAGTCCTGGGCACCATCCGGACTGGCGTCGTCGTTCCCCCTTCTGACTGCACTCACCAGCTGCTTTCTAGGGACGGGCAGGCCCTGGCCCTGTCCCCGGGGTTGCTCTCTCTGGTCCGGCAAGGGAAGAAAGGCGACCAGGTAGAGCGTCGGGTCCGGGCGCTCTGGGGCAAAGCAGGATGGTCCGGGCCAGGGAGGGCGCGGGGAGCACCGGGCCAGGTAGGGCGCAGGGGGGCGAGGCAGGGCGCGGGGCGCAGAGCACCTGATCTGCGCGGCCCCGCGGGGTGCGGGCTAGGTCCGGGTGCAGCCGGGTCACGTGGGCCGAGCCCCGCCCCCCCCGGTCCCGCCCAGCTCCGGGAGAGCCTCCGGGTGGCAAGCAAAGGCGACCAGCGCGAGTGGTGCGAGTGGCGCGGGTGGCGCGGGTGCCGGGGAACACTCCAGACTCCGCGCCCCAAGCCAACCTCTGGGAGAAGGGTGGCGGCGGGGAGGGGAGGGTTGAGCCCACACCCGGGAGTTGCGACTTCGCCGGGTGCTGCTGCTGACTTGGCCCTGCCCTCAGCGCCAGGGGACCCGTCGCCTGAACGCGCCCTCGGAGCGCGCAGCCCTTCTTTTAATTCCTACCCAGCTCTGCAGGGGAACGCTTTTTACTCTGGCCTTACCGATGGGGAAACTGAGACTCGGGAAAGAGCTTTACCCAAAGCCACCGACTAATAAGTGGGAATGCCAACTGGTGAGTGGGACTTGGGGTCCCGGGCTTCGTCGCGCAGGTCCCGTACCTCTGGCCGCCCTACATCCTGCCCGGCGTCGGAAAGCTCCTGGGCCGGGAAGCCCACAGCGCCAGGATCCCCCGCGCGGGCTCGGCACCGAGGCCTTGCCTAACCGAGGACCGTCCTGCGGGTTGCACTGTCGCGGCTCTCGGCAGAGTCAACAGATGGGGCGCGCAGACCAGACGGGGTGCCATCGGAGGACACGGTCGGGGAGAACATCCCCCGAGCTCCCCGCACCCTCCTTGCCCGGACTAGGAGCTCAGGACCGCTTCAAACCCAGCCGTCCCAAGCGCCGCCGCCAGCCCCAGCCACCTGTGCTTCGGAATTCCCAGGGACAGTTTGGGGACCACCGTCTTCCCTCTCTCTTCCGGAGTTGGTGCTCCCCTCCTCCTTCTCCCTTGTCATTAAAAAACACTGAAATGAAAAGTACACCTCCTCCTCCCGGCTGCAGGAACTACCTTTTAAACTCAGTTTCCATAGCTACAAAATGGTGATAAGATGATTAACAAATACATAATAGATGCTATTAGGTGAAGACACACCACCATCTTCATTTGGCAGACAAGGAAACTAGACCTCATGGGATCATTGCGATGTCACACTGGATAATTTGTAACGAGTTTTCAAAAGCCACAAAACGCGGCTGCAATAAGTGCCTGGCAAAGCCCTGCAAGTGAAATTGGGTGTTTCAGGCCCTTGGGCTGCTTCAGGATAGGAACTCTCACCAAACATCTTCAACTGGTGTGTGTGTGTGTGTGTGTGTGTGTGTGTGGGCACACGAGTGCACAAGCTGTGGAAATAATGCAACTGAAAGCCCAGCTTCCCTAGCCCATGGGAGCCCATTCCTGTTTTTTCATTTCCTTACCATATATTTACCATTGCTTGTAGAATTAATGAATCTCTTAAAAGTTGGCCTCAGGACTGTAAGTTCCTTAAGGGCAGAAGTGGGTTTTAATTTTTTTTTATACTTTAGTGTTTATTTACTTAAATGAGTGGGTTATAAAGAATGTACAGCGGTGATACGTGATGATACACGATAAAGATGTATGGTAAAGAATATAAACAGTATAAAATGAAAAGTCAAATTCCCTCTTGTTCCTGCTCCCCACTCCTGCTCCTGTTCCACTCCCCAGAGTCATTGCTAATGGGGTCTTGTGCATTGTTCCAGAATTATTGTGGGTGGTTAAGTACATGGACTCTGGATCCAGCTGTGAGAGCTGGACTCCCGGCTGGGTGTGTTAGCATCCAGCTGTGTTACCCAGGGCATGTTACTTAACCTCCCCCAGGACTCACTTCTCCCTCTACATCCTGAATTGTTCTGAATCCATATACATAACGCTCTTGGCTGAGACCTGCTATGCAGTGAGGATTTGGTAAAAGTTTACAACTATTACAACTTCTAATAGTTCATTCTTTTTAATGGTTGCAGAGTATCCATTGCCTGCGTTTATCATAATTATTTTACAGTCTTCTATTGAAGGACAGTTAACTGTGGTCTAACCGTCAAAATCGTGATAAGTTGCTGTCTCTAATCATGAGAACCCTTTCAAATTTTGCCAGTCATCTCAGTAATATCCTTTATTGCAAAAGATCCAATTTAGAACGTCTTGATTTCCTATATTAGCTATTTAGGGGAAATGGGGAGGGGACAGGGAAGAGAGGAGAGAGAGGTTAGCTGGGGCACTTGGTGGCTCATGGCCAGGATCTTGGGTGTCCTTGCTTCTCCTCCCCCTGACATTCCTGCCTTGCCCAGTCCTCACCTTTGGGATTCTGCCCACCTCCATCTGCTCCCCAGCTTCTCGGGGCTCCCCTTGGTGGTAACCTGTGGCTCCCTGATAATTTGCCCCTGCCCCTGGGACTATCCTGCCTTGTTCACTTGCTGGTGTTGTCTTCCTCAACACTATGTGGCTAATCCTGTCTGTTGATTGATTGAGTGATTGAAGAGCAGTTAACATATAATGTTATATGCGTTTCAGAGACGTAGCGTGTAGTGATTGGACAATTCTGTACATTATGCTCCACTCATCAGGGTAAGTGCAGTTACCATTTAACAGTTACAATGTAACAACATTGTTACAATACTGTATGTGTGTACATCTAGGCTGTACTCTTCATCCCTATGACTTAGTAGTTTTATAACTGGAAGTTTGTACCTCTTCATCCCCTTCACCTGTTTGCTCATCTCCCTGTCCCCTCCCCTCTGGCATCAATCGGTTTGTTCTCTGTATTTATGAGTTTCTTTCTGTTTTGTTTGCTCATTTGTTTTTTGTTTTTTTTTTTAGAGTCCACATCTAGGTGAAATCACATGGTGTTTGTCTTTATCTGACTTATTTCACTTAGCATAATACGCTCTAGGTCCATCCTTGTTGTCACAAAAGTCAAGTTCTTATTCTTTTTTATGGATGAGTAGTAGTTCACTGTGTGTATATATCTGTATACCACATCTTTTTTATTCATTCATCTATTGATGGACACTATTACTTCCATATCTTGGCTATTGTTAGTAATGCTGCAGTAAACTGAGGGGTGCATATACCTTTTGAATTAGTGTTTTATGTCTCTTACTGATTAGGAAACTGATGCCCAGAGAAGAAGCCTATACACCCAGGGTCCTTTTCCCTCTCTAGCAGAGAGCTTCTCACTAAGCCACCATGACTCTTGGGAAATCTGGTTGATGGTTGGACACCAGAGGGCAGTGGAGGGCTCCTCTCCACTGTCCTGTCTTCATGGCCGCTGTCTGGAGACCCTGTCTTTTGTTGTAGAGATCTAGGGGCAGAGAGTACAAGGAGGGAAGGATCATTGTCTTGGCCATTCCAGAAGGATGCTCAGCATGGAAGATGGCCATCAGAGGAGAAGCCTTGAATGAAGTCTCCTGAGGAATGAAACCCGTGACTCTAACACCATCAGAACCCCATCTCCAGGGCTAGTGTTCGGGCAAGTATCACGGAAGGCTGGGCTTGGACTTAGCCTGAACTCTGCTCATAGCCAGGGACCAGGGGAAAGGAGACCCCTGGCCCACCAGGGAGTGTCCTACAATCTCTACAAGATGACTGAGTCCAGGATTTGTGCTGAAAGGCCTGCTGTCCCTGACCCATGTGCCCCTCCTGGGTTCTCTAGCTCCCTGCAGGAGGCTGTTAAAATCCACCCCTCATTCTCCCCTCTTCTGATGCCTCTGGGCCAGTTTGGCATTGGGCTAACAGGGGCATGTGGATTTTTTCGAGGTGAACATATGGAAAATTGAACATATGCAGAATACTTCCCCAAACCCCAGCCATGTCCAGCAAACTACCTGTGAGTTACAAGATAATGTGTTTTCATCAGATATCGAATGACTTTTTTTTCTTTTATGAATCTGGAAAATTGGGAAAAATCCCATTTTAGGGAGCATTCTTCTGGCTTGTGGGGCTGGGCAGGGAATCACAGGGCCTTTGGGGAGGTGTTGCCTGACGCTGTTTCAGCCAGCTCTTCAGGGCAGGAGGCCTTGGAGCCGTCCCCCACACTTTGGAGGACACACACTGACCTGTGTTTCTTGTGGGGTCAGGACCACTGGGAAGCACTTGTCTGCTGACTCCCATCCATCCCCTCCTTGGATGGCGCCCCTCCCCTCCCCTGCTCTGGTCCTCCTCCCTTCTTGGTTCTTAGTTCTACAATCCTCCCTTAGAAAAGCATTTTCTGGGCCTCTAGCCCTCCCCACCATTGGACTCTGTTATTCCCTGCACGTTCCTGCAGAAACACTCCCATAATTTACCTGCCATGTACGTGGTGACCTGATTCACATCTTTGTTCCCCAACTCTAAGCTCTGGGAGCCCAAGGACCACAATGTTCATGAACTCTGGTGTGCCTGCCTCCTTCCATGGTGCTTGGCACATAGTAGGCCTTTGATAACGACTTGTTGAATAAACATTGTTTGGTAATCATGATTATGTGTTTTCATGTTGCCCTTGATTTTTTATTTATTTTTAAAATTTTTACTTTTAAAAGATTTTATTTATTTATTGAGAGAGAGAGTGAGAGAGAACAAGAGAGAGAAAGCATGAGCAGGTGGCGGTGGGGAGGGGCAGATGGAGAGGAAAAGCAGGCTCCCCGCTAAGCAGAGAGCCCAAATTGGGTCCCAGGACCCTAAGATCATGACCTGAGCTGAAGGCAGACACTTTACCGACTGAGCCACCCAGGCACCCCTGCCCTTGACTTTTTAAAAAAGTTTTAATTTAAATTCCAGTTAGTTAACCTGTAGTATAATACTAGTTAGTTTAGGTGTACAATGTGTGATTCAACACTTCCTTACAATGCCCTGTGCCCCTCACAGCAGGTGCCCCCTTCATCCCCATCACCTGTTTCCTCCATCCCCCACCCCCTCCACTCTAGTCCCTATCAGTGTGTTCTCTAGAGTTAAGAGTCTGTTTCTTGGTTTGTCTCTCCCTCTTTTTTCTCCCTGTGCTCGTTTGTTTTGTTTCTTAAATTCCACATATGAGTGAAATCATATGGTATTTGTCTTTCTTTCATTGACTTATTTTCTCTTTCTCTCTCTTTTT